CTGATGAGGTACAGTATTGAGGGGAGCAGCGGGCTGGTCAGGAGAGGTCTGCCGCGCCATGTGGGTCACCTCCGGGGTGGGGATCGAACTCATCCTGAAGTGACTTTAGCTTCTTAGTGCTGTGCTTTAACCCACTGCGCCACCAGGGAGGGTCAGAACTAAATGATTTTTTAACTACCCCCTCCAGTAGGAAATACATCCTTGCTAGCCACCCCAGAAATCTCCCACAAGACCCTTCCAGTCACAGCCTCTATCCTCCCTGCTGTCTTGACTTCTGTAGGAATTGCAGTTTCACAGTTCTTTATAATTTTGTCACCCAAAAGTACATTCCCAAGCATGTTAATTTAGCTGTGTGTGAGGTTTTTGTTTGTTTGTTTTAAGGCTCTTAATCTTAATCCACTTTCTTACAGAACATTTGTTGCAGCAGGCGGTTATTTTGACCTGTACAGATTTTGTAGTCTGGGTTGTGTCAATGGTATACATTTTCTTCCTTCTCTGTATCTCCATTAAACTGGTAGTTGAATCTAAAAGCTTGATCAGGTTTAGATTTCTATGTTTGTCTTTTGGACAGGAATATATTAGGTATTCATGTGGTATACTTTCCATCAAGAAGTGTGGGAGATAGAGGAAATTTCCCATGCCCCTCTGGCATCTTCTTGGTTTTGTCCAGTAATCAAGTTAACATGAGTCAGGTTAGTTGGAGAAGAAAAAAAATCAAATTTAATTATGTCCAGGGAATCCATTTAGAATAGGACTTCAGGGTCAGTGGGGAAAAAGGAGGGTGTATATTTTAAGCTAAGGAAAGAATGGGGTCCTGGAACTTGAAGGAGAGAAGAGGGGGTGGGGTTTGCCTGTTGAGGAGAGGGACACTCATGTGAGAACATCACATGCCCTCGAACTTAAAGTTTGCCCTGCTGTGTAGATAGGTTTCTCCAGCAGAAAGGTTGCTGTGGTAATAACACTAAATTCTGGGTTTGACCCTCCGATTTTCATTCTTCTCGGTGATTAAGGGAGTGGTGAAATTGTCTCCTGAACTTGCAGGGCCTCGATTGACCTCAGCTCAGAATAATCCACATGCCAAAGTGACGCATTTTAGGAAGGGCTTATTCTGAGCATTGCAGAGACATATTCTAAAGATTTTTTTTGTTTAAAGATTTATTTATTTATGCTTACAGAACTGGGGTACAGGCCAGAGGTGCAGGGGCAGTGGGAAGATTCACCAGAGACAGAGCAGGGAGCAGAACAAGCAGATAGATGAAGTACACTGCTGAGGGGAGCAGTGGGGGAGACAGGAGTGTCTGCCGCGCCATGTGGGTCACCTCCCGGGTGGGGATCCAACTCACCCTGAAGCGGCTGCTTGCACAGGGAGGGTCCCTATACTTCATGTTTATAGTGCTGGTTGTTTTTCTTTTTTTGTGATTTTATAAAGAGAAACTTCTTTATTTGGTCATTGGTGGTGCAGTTCAGTTAGGAAAGCAAGAAAACTTAGCAGTTTTCAAAACAAAACAAAACCTTGTTCTTCCGGGGTGACCCACTTCTTTTGTGTCATTATGAACCTGTTGATTTACTGCAAGTAAATATTTTATGTTCACTCTTTCATAGATGCTTATGGGCATCATAAATTTTATGAATACAGTAAATGTTATGAACAAAAGGAAATGTATCTCAGTTACCAACTCTTGACATTGGTATTACATAGAATTTTAGGATTAAGATGTTGGGATTTTGATGAGGATTGCTTCTGATCTACAGATTAATTTCTAATATTGTTGTGTTGTCCTAATTTCTTTTCCCTCATCTTACAGTTTGTTTCCTCCTTTCTTTAGAGGAAGTTACTGCTTATTAATTTTATGTGTTTTGCTTGCAGTATTGAGGAACAGTTAGTCTCATCTCCCTGCAACAATGAAGAACAGTGACATGTTCATGCATTGGGTTTCTTAGGAAAAAATCTCTTCCAGGTTTGGTCAGATCTTTCTTTACAACGTTACTGAAGCATTATTGGTATTAATTGCATCTGTAACTTGTATCCTTATATACATGTAAATATATGTAAAATACCCGTGAAACCCTCGATCACTACACTCAAGAGCCCTGGAGTTCCTTGGGCTCTTTTGTCTGTCAGTAGCCGCAGACACTGATCTGCTTTCTACCTCCAAGTACTTTTCTGTATCTACAGATTAGTTTTGACTGTTCTATAATTTCACACAAACAAAATCATACACTGTATATATTTTTGCTTAGTTGTTTTGAATAGGAATACTTTTTTCTTTTTAAGATTTATTATGCTTACAGAACTGGGGTACAGGCCAGAGGTATGGTGGGTGAGAGGCTTCACCAGAGACAGAGTGGGGAGCAGAACAGGCAGATCGACAAAGTACACTGCTGAGGGGAGCAGCGGCTGGTCCAAGAGAGGTCTGCCACACGTGTGGATCACCTCTGGGCGAGGATCCAGCTCACACTGAAGTGGCCACGGCTTGGCTTAGCTTCACGGTGCAGCGCTCCAACCCACTGTGCCACCAGGGAGGGTCCTTCTTGCATGTTTTATTCTATAAGGTTCATAGTTTTATCTCTTATACTGAGGTCTGTGATCCATTTCAAGGTAGTTTTTTTTTTTATTAAAGATTTATTTGTGCATACAGAACTGGGGTACAGGCCAGAGGCTCAGGGGCGGTGAGAGGCTTCACCAGAGACAGAGTGGGGAGCAGAACAGGCAGATCGACGAAGTACACTGCTGAGGGGAGCAGCGGGCGGGTCAGGAGAGGTCTGCCATACCATGTGGACTCCTCCGGGGCAGGCGGGGATAGAACTCATGTGGAAGCGGCTTTAGATTCTCAGTGCTGTGCTTTAACCCGCTGCGCCACCAGGGAGGGCCTCAAGGTAATTTTTAAAAAATCTATGATATATGGAAGGGTTGAGGTTAATTTTTTTGGGGGGGTTATCATTTATTAAAATAATTTTTATTACAAAACATTTATTAAAATAATATCCTTCCCCACTGAAAAGCGCGTTAAATCAGTTGGAGATATGTGTGTGTGTGTTCTGTGTATTCTTGATTACTGTAGTTTTACTGTACGCCTTGAAATCAGTTTGTTTCTCCAACTTTGTTCTTTTTCAAAATTTTTTGGTGTTCTTAGGGCCTTTGCATTTCCATGTGAATTTTAGCCTGATGAGATTTTGATTGGGTTTATATTGAATTTTTAAATCAATGAACATCTATGTACTTAATAATGAGTCCTCTGATCCCTGAGCATATGATGTATCTTAATACTCCTTTTAAAATTTCTCCTAGTGCTTTGTAGTTATTATCATACAGGTCTTGCACACCTTTTACCTCCTAAATTTGTCCTTAAATATTTAATGTTTTTGATGCTCTTCTAAATGGTATGTTTAAAATTTCCACTTCCAGTTGCAGCTTGCTTGTTTATAGAAATAGGGCTGACGTTTATGTAGCTGTTTTACTCTGGAACCTGGCTGAACTCACTTAACATTTTTTGTAGATTTCTTTGGCTTGTCTACTTATATGTTTATAAAGTTTGTAATAAAGATAGTTTTATGTCTTCCTTTTCATTATGTGTACCACTTTTCTCCATTGCACGACTTTCTGACTGTTGTTTCCTCTATTAAGAATGTTAAGTAGTGGCAGTGAGATTGGCGCCTTTGCCATGTTTCAGATCTAACAGAGACTCAGTCTTTCCTTAATATGTGGTAATAATCATTGTGGGTTTTTAGCTGGTCTACTTTTTCAGAATGATAAAGATCCATGCTAGTTTGATGAAAATTTGGGTTTTGTCAAAGGCCTTTTCTCTATTGTTAAGACCATACGGCTTTTCTCTTTAGACTAGTATCATGCTACAGAAAGTTGGATCTCAGCTAGGTTGCCCACAGAGGGTTGAGTAATATGTGACTTACATAGGGGTCACGGGGTTGTGTTACCCAGATGCCCCTACAAAGAGGGCCTTACTGTCCAGCTGCTAGGAGTACAGTGACTCATTCTGCTCACACCTCAGGAGCTGCCTCATCTGCAGAGCCACCTCCTTCAAGGGCATAAGGTCCCCGAGGTGGCATGCCTTTGCAGACTTCAGTAGGCTGAGGTGTGAAAGCCTGGTCACTTAAGCCAACCACAGGGCATTTGGAGGGACAGTTGTTCATGTCTTCACACTTGCTTGGTTGAAATTTTGTTGGGCCTGCATCACAGTTTGAGTTCTGCCCAAACTTGTCTTATTCTTCCTTTCCTTGGTGTTGATCCGTAGTAAACATTTTGTACCCCAGTAACCATCTAACTGCTTCTGTGGAGAAGCCAGCTGGCAGCAGCTCCTCAGCTCATGGAATTAATTTACTGGGAGAAAATACACATCAAATAAGGAATTAGAAATGTGATAGTTGTCATATAGAAGTACAGGATGTCATGGTAATGTGTTATAAAAAGAACTTATACTTGGTTATTTAATGTTAAAGGAGACACCGGAATTAGTAGTCAGACCTGGGTTAACATGCCACATCGACCACTGTGAGTAGCCGGAACCGTGGCCACGCTGCTTACTATCCTTCCAAGCTAGTTTCTTCAGTGTAACGTGGCTGCAGCGTCTTACCCTTTAGCAAGTAACCTGGGATTGTTCTCATGGCCCAGCAGTAAGAGAAATGGCCTGGCATACAAATATTTTTTTTTGCCTTTGCTTGTGTTTACTTGCTAACATCCATTGTCCTTGTTTCAAGGATAAAAAAATAGACTCCATCCCTACAAGGGAATTTGTAAAATAAGTCTCTGTAAAAATTATCAACACAATGCCTGATTTATGATAGTAGGTAACGTTTATTGAACACTGTATAAATAATACTTAGTAAGAGACAGCTAGACTATTCTAAGTAATGTATTTTGTCTCCATGTGATAGGAACAAAGCAGAAACTCATTTGGAGAATTTGATGTGTTCTGTTGATAATCGTAATTTTTATTATGGAACAGTTTGCAAATAAATCTCTCTTTTTTTCTTTTTCCCTGCAGTAAGAAAAATGGAAAACAGCCATTACAGAGTGAGGTAAAATTTTAAATCATTTACTCTTTGGGATTGCTTGTATTTCTTTTATAATTTTGAGTTAGGATAGAATCATACAATTTCAGAATTAAAAGGAAACCTAAAGATCTCCAACTTACTATATTATAGTACTTACTTTTTTTTTTTTTGAAATAGGAATCCTTACTAGGTAACTTCTAGTTATTTTCTAGTAAATAACTTGAATCAGTTCATTTGATGGAGATTTATTTATTCTAGGCGGCAGCCATAATTGTGTTAGTTCTAGCTTGTGAGCTTAAGTTTCCATCCTCTAGCTTATTGGTGAATAACTTTCATAGACAAGGCTGCTCTGTTTTTTCTAGTAGACTATTAAAAGTTTGAAGATGTATCTTATGAGATTGTTTTTTTTTTTTCACCCATGCTAAGTGACCTTCATTTCTTTATATGTTTCTTACTTTTTTTTTAAATCTTTTTTTCAATTCTGTATATATTCTCTGGACCTATAGTAATTAGTTTCTTGAGGGGATTGCTTAAAGTAAGTTGTTCTGATGTAGTCTGACTAGCATAGACTATCTCAGCACTTTCTCATCTCTTGATACAAACACCATCTTATTAAAATTTAGCCTAAAATTGCTTTTGCTTTTTTAGCCATAACTGCTGTTTCCATTCAGTGGAGTTGTAATTTATAACCTTCAGGTATCTCTCTGATAAACAGCTCCACTGATAAGTCCTCTAACGTCTGTATTCATCAGACAATACTAACTTTGTTGAGCTAGAAATCATATGCCGTTAAGATCCAGCCACTTAATTGTATCATTCAATGGTTTTTTAATTTATTTGTGTCACTAATTTTAGAAATTTTTCGCCTCCCATGGACATTCACCATGTTACCCTCTTCTCTGCACCCCTGGCAACCAAGTTGACTTTCTGTGTCTCTTGAATTGTCAGTTTTGGACATTTCACATAAGTAGAGTTTTCAATACAGGGTGACTGTCTGTTTGGAATCTTTCATGTAGCATGATGCTTTTCAAAGTTTATTCATGTTGTTGCAGGTGTCAGAATTTAGTTTTTTAATTGCCAAATAGTGTTCTGTTGTATGCCACATTTTGTTTACCCATTCATCAGGTGGGGGGACATTTAGATCATTTCATTTTTTGGCTGTGCAAAATAATGCTGTGTGGACTTACTTTTTCTTCTGGTCCCTAGGAGTGAGTTTGCTGGGTCATAGGATAATGACATTGTTTTCTTTTAAGTAAACATTAGTTTAACCCTGTGTCAGCTTACTAGATTTATTTCAGTATCTTTCAGTATCTTTATTTCAGCTTACTGGATTTATTTCAGTATCTTTATTAGTGTAATTTTAAATACAATTTCAACATTTGGTATTTAGTATAGAAGGTGTTTCTATAAGTTCAGTTTGCTGCCTTTTCCCTCTCAGAATTGCTGATGGCATTGAATAGGTAAGGGTCAACAAGGAAATTATTCTGTGGCATCTTTTAATTTGTGGGTTGGTTTTTTTTTTTTTTTTTGACTGGTTTATTTGTTGTGACTTTAACTGTAGCAGAATCTGTTCCTTCTCTATTAAGGTCACAATAAATTTATTAGAAGCATCAAATTCCTTGATTAACTTATTTTATTAAGTCTACCTTTCAGTAAATATTAAATGAACTCTCTCAAAAATGCCTGGCATTGTTTTGGTGCTGGGTATACAACAATTGTAAAACAGCCCCTACCCTCACAAAACTTATTTTGCACTTGTCAGCAAGTGTAACAGTATGCTAACAAAGAAGAAAGTTAGAACATGACCTACTAGTAAAGCCATGCAGATTTGTAGTGATCAGTAATTCTTAAGGCTTCCCAAATCCTCCATATTGTCTACTCTCTGAATATTCCAGATTGATTTAAAATTGCTGTTCTTTACTTTCTGTAATTGCTCTCTCCCAGTCTGAAATATAGACAAGGTAGGCTTATCTCCAATCTTCTGGAAGATTGGAAGTTTATAATCTCTCATATCTAAATTATATTTTAGTAAATCAGACCAGGAAATTTATAATCTCTCATATCTAAATTATATTTTAGTAAATCAGACCTCAGTTATCTGGGTGGGTGATACCCACCCTGCATATTATCATATCTGTGCTTTAGGACATCACTGAAACTATATCAGTACAGCTAAATGAAGTACTTTTTTTGGGAAGTTTTTGTATTTTTCTGCATTTTTTTTAGCATATTCTTACTTGCTAGTTATAAAGTATGAGCAAAATACATTTGTTAGATTAAATAGTTGGGGGAAAGGATATAAGACAGTACACACACTGATACCACATTGAGTTTTAAGGCTGTGCACAGCTCTAACAGGCATATACATACTACAATGAGATCTAGTGCATGTGCTGAATTAGCAGTTGTTATCTAAATGGAAGGCCATGTTCTCTATTTTTGCTCATTAGAATTTTCTAATTTTCCCGCAGTGAATTTTTTACTTATGAAGGAAAGCAATTAAAAAGGAAATTTTTTTTTACTGAAATTTTTCCTACTCTTTGGGATTTGGTGGGAGGGGGTAAGAATTCTCATAAGAATGAGATTTAAGGGGAAAAAGATTTCATAGAACTAAAAAAGGTTGACTTTATTTTAAAATACTTAATTTGCTTGTAACACACATAGTATAAAATTCAAAATGTATGACAGTAAACATGATTGGGTTGGTATTTACACCTTCCCTAGGCATGTTTTTATGCATTTGGGGTGTGTGTATGTATGTCTCCATGAACAATGTAGGTGGGATTATTTTATATATTGAAAATTATAATGAACGCAATCATTCTATGCATCATTTTACTTTTTTTAGGTATCGTTTAAAGATCCATCTGTGGTGGATAGGGGTAGCTATGCTTGTTGATTCAACTGTTCAATAAAGTTTTTTGTATAAAGCCTCTTTTAAAAAATTGCATAAATTTACCATAGCATGTCATATCTTATTATTGATAAAAATTTAGGTTTTAAATTTTATGATATTATAAACAATTTGTACATTTTTTTATGTGTGTATGTTAGAATATCTGCAAGATTAGGATAAGTTCCTAAAAGGATATTTTCTGGGTTATTATACATTTTACAGTCTGTACATTTTACATTTTGACAGTTGCTACATAAGAGTTGTCCCAATTTACACTTTCCCCAACAATATGTAGGAATACTTACACTCTTCTCAGAAGCATATGGCTTTTGGTTTTTCTGTACTTTTCCAGACATCTGTCTTTCTCAGTCAGTTCCCATTCACCTTACCTTTTTAAGTTGATTGACATATCAGTAGGAACTGTGACATATCAGGAGGAACTGTTCATTGCGCTTTTGCATTATTGTCTCTTGAATGTTAGGTATATTACATATTTTTCTGGTTGCATTATCTAGTGGTTTGTTTGCTTTTTCTAAATTTTTGTCATCCAAGTTTTTTTTTTTTTTAAGTTAAAAAAACAACCGGGAAAGGTAGTGGTGGAGAACATCAATTGTGAATTTAAAACAAATTTTTTCGGAGACACTAGTGCTTGTAAGATATACTGTCTCTGTTGGTATTATCACTTAGATTGGTTTCAGGTATGGATTCTATTGTGTTTCAAGAAAAGTGGAACACCCTGTTAACTTCCTCAGCCTTTCTGGGCCAGTCCTCCAGTCCAACTTTCTTGGCAGAAGACATTGATTTTAGGAAGAATATAGGCCCTTTTATAGATTGAAATGTAATGAAGTCAAGTCACCTTTCAGACGGTGACTTAATACAAATAGGAGCAGGGACAGTACAAATAGAGGAAACAAAAGAGGGAGAATTACTGCAGGTCCGCTGCTGGCGTTTTAGTGATTCCGCGTTACTTTGTCCGTCTTTACCCGTCTCGGGCTCAGCTGCTAGGATGCCTCGCTCGTGGCTCCAGCCAGATCGGCTTCTTATTGCTCCTCAGCATGTCAGCGGGTTCTCACCTTGGTATTTTGCACTTGCTAGTTCTGTTATTTGTCGTGTTCTCCCAGATACTCACGTGGTATCAGGACAACTTTCTATTTTAATTGTTTTTTTTTTTTTTTTTTTATTGTGGGCACGGTTTACAACGCCTTAGTCGCGTGTTCCCACACCTCACTCTGCGCCTGGGCTCCACACTTTTCTACCACAGGCCGCTAGCCATTAGGCCCCTCTGCACTTTGCTCCCCCACTCTGCAGTCATTAATAGCCAATTTAAAGACTTTTTTTTTTTTTTTTGGTAGAAAGAGGGGAAGAAAGAGCGAGCTATGGTGGACAAGGTATTTTTTTCAAGACTCACACGGATTCTGAAAATCATGGTTCCTAGAACATTTTGTAAAGAGGTAAGTATGATGATATTGATGTTATGTGTCCAACTTTCAAGGTTGCATGAGATTGGAATAATAAAATTATAAAGTTTTTGTTATAGCAGGTTAAATGTTTTCTACATAGGTAATGAAAGTTTCAAAATTTTTTTCTTTAAATCATTGTCATTCAAGTCTCCTTGATCAGTGCCAGTTTTTAAATCATTTTCTCTTGTTTATGGAATATTATCTCGTATTTTATGTTAAACAGCAGAGTGCTTCTGATAGAATAAATACTATTAGTAAAAACAGGTTAAGACAAATCTTTTTATTACACTGAGATGATAGTCACACTGATATGGTAGGTATTTGAAAGTTTCTTTTCCTTATTTGATTAAATTGTTAAGATGTTCAACTGGAATTCGTCTGTTATTTTCATAAAGTGGGCTGGTTATATGAATTAAGTTTTATTGCCCCTTTCTTTGCCCTTTTGTTGAGATTATCTCTATCATTATTTGAGAGTATCTTACATGACTATTAAAATAATGATGTATCTCCATCTCTGATCACCTAAGTGATTCTAACTATCATCACCTTTGATTCTTTCTCTTTCCCAAACCTCATCCTTTCATTACTGGGTTTTGATGTTTTTTTTCCTTCTACATATTCTTAACTTGGAGGTTATAGTTTCCTTCAGTTAGTCTCAATTTAAATAGTCTCCCTTTTTAATCTTTCCTGCCAAATAATCTTTTTAAAACATAATGTACCTCATTGTTCAAATTTTAAAAATAATTTCAACAGCATGAAATGGATAAGGGGTTACAAGAGTACTGTAATTTCCAAAAGAATGCACATTGCTCATCACACTGGACTTACTGATCCTTCCCCCTCCACTTTCCACTCACACAGCATTGTCTTAGTCTTGTTCGTTCAACATAGCTTTTTAGCATTTTGTTCTACCCAGAATTTTGCAGTGATTTTATATTACCTAAGCTGCTGGGTTTACGGTTCCATGGTCCATTTGGTGTGTCTTATTAGTTTTTTCATTCAGCCCCTCATTGTATTTTAAACCATTGCCCTCATTCTTTTTTATTTTATTTTATTTTATTTTTTAAAGATTTATTTATTTATGCATATAGAACTGGGGTACAGGCCAGAGGTGCAGGGTGGTGAGAGGCTTCACCCAAGACAGTGGGGAGCAGAACAGGCAGATTAAGGAAACATACTGCTGAGGGGAGCAGCGGGCGGGTCAGGAGAGGTCTGCTGCGCCATGTGGTCACCTCAGGGGCAGGCTGGAATCGAACTCATGCTGAAGTGGCTTTAGCTTCTTAGTGCTGTGCTTTAACCCGCCGTGCCACCAGGGAGGCCACTGCCTTCATTCTTTCCTTTATCTGTTTAATATATTTTGCTATCCAAAACCTTCCCATTGTCCCACTTATTTATTGAAGTTATGCAAATATACTTAACCTACATTCATCTGGTCTCTTAGTTTTCAATGTGTAAATTTTTCCTAATAATTAAATCAAAGACCCTGTGACAACAGGGGCACCATTAGAGATTTTTCCTACAAATTAAACCGTATTTATTCTGCTTAGACAAAATTTTAGACTTCAGTATTTGTTAGTTGTTTATATACCAACAGTTTATATCATTTTTCTTTATTAAAGTTGTATATTGAACATGTAAAAAATCACAATATACTGTGAGATAGGTTATCTAAGGTAGCCTGCCTTGCTTCTGTCACTCATTTAATTGTATGAAGACAAACTAACCTGCCTGTGATTCAGTTTTGAATTCTGAATGAGAAAGATTACCTGGTCTATATGGCTTTTTTTTACTGCATTTTAAAATTATATTTAAAAATTGCTTGTAAGTCTTTGAATTTAGAAGCCAAAAATTTTTACTAAGGGCGTTTGTTTTAACTTTCTAAGGTGCAGCCATTTAATTTACTATACCGGGTCTGTTTTAGACAGGTTACTTGATTCTCATTGCTGTTATGCTGGTGTCTCGAACATACTGTGACGTTTGGATGATTCAGAATGGGACGCTCATTGAAAGGTACTTTTCTTCTGCCTTCCTCCTGTGTGTTGGACTTGTCTCATATCTAAGCATTATTCTTAATAAGCAAAAAATAAACTCTGTTAGGTCTAAGTATTAATTAACACAAATGATATATTTGTTCATTTACTTAATTCGTGTTGTTTCCTGTGCACCACTCAGCTACACTCTGATGGTGATACATTGGTGACTGGGAGAGACCCGGCCACACCCTGCCAGGCCGAAACTTGACATGGTCTTAAGGACAGCTGAACAGAATATTACAATGCAGCATAACGAATGCTGTAGTTTGGGTTTTAAAAAAGCCAGCAAGTGGATGTCTACAGTTAGTGAGTTAATTTGGAAGCAAATAAAGCAGAAAATTGCATTAAGGATGTTTATTAAAAGGAAAAAAAATTCTTAAGATAGTTTCTTCATTTCTAAACTTAGCATCTTATATATTTTTTCGTTCTAGTCTTTGTACCTTTATGGTATATTATTAATCACTGCAATTAATAACTTTTGAATTAAAAAACTTAAAAATAAAAATCAGGGTATTAGCATTTCTCTGATATTAAGAATTTGTTTTTCCTAATACCAGTTTGAATCAAAATACATTTCTTTTCTTAGAATTCTGGTTTCTGGTGTGTAATACTCTATCAGAAAATTTCTTAAAATACATCATCCAAGGTAACTTTTTGGATAACAGTGCTTAAAATTTTTCTATGTTCCCAAATTTTGAAATCAAGGCTTTTTCCTCATACCCTTGATCTTTCCCTTAGATGATGTGTAGGAAGAGGAGGGATGCTTTACCTGTGACTTCTGACTCTTCTTTCTAGAACAAAGGTTGTCTGGCGCGGCCCAAAGCCCTAACCTCCTGCCTCTGAGTATGAATTGCTTAGATTCAGCTCAGGCCTTCTTCAAACCTTTGGCTAGGTAGTCCTGCGCCTTTTTATTTAATCAAAGCAATATGAAGAGCTTACTAGTCCTTCATGAGCGTAGTTAAGACTTACAGGACTTGACAGCAGACACATGCATCCTGTTCCCCTTTTCTTCCCACCTGTCACTGTCACTCCCGGGGGCGTTTGTTTTCCATTCCTTTTATTATTTGTTCTCAGCATTCAGTGTAACATACATGTGTTACTGTTCTAGATTTTTTTCCATTGTCAATAGCATGCACGTATTTCCTACTTTGGAGCATGAGGATGCCCTTCTCATCCTCAGTGTTGTCATACAGTGTTGCCACAGTATTTTGTAAAGTCAGAATTTACTGCTTACATGGTTTTGACTGTTGTTTACAGGTACGTTTGAGAGCATGAAATGACTAATAAAATAATTTAGTAACCAGGTTTATGTCCTTTGCTCAAGGGGAAACAGTCCATGGGGTGGACCTCACAAGGAGTAGGTCTCCTCCCAGTGGATTTTGGGCAAGAATGAGTTATTTAGAGCCTCAGAAGAGGCAACACAGAAACAGGCCATGAGCCAGAGATTTCCTTATAGGCTAGCGGGCTGTTTTCTAGCTGACACTGAGCTGTGGAAGGTTTCGATAGGCATATGTTAGGTTTCAGTGAAGTCTGTGATGTAGACCAGGGCTTTGGGGTGGCTTCTATATTGTGGTCCTGATAGATCATTTTAACTTCATTCGTAGCACTGTTCTTTTCCCTCCTGTTTCTAATTAATCTAACTCAAGTTTACTGACAATACTGTTTATTGACAGTATTGTAATATGGTCAGACACGACCAGGTACCAGCCCAGCCCTGTCTCCTGCTGGCTCCCTGCCCTCCTGCTCTAATCAGGATTGGTTGCGTGGTAGACACACATAAATAGCAGTCATGTTTGAGTTTGCTCCTGTTATGTTACTGAGAATTTCTTCCATCTTTCACTCTATTAAATCACCTGTTACATCTTGTTTTTCTTCTTCCTCAGTTTACTTACACAGTCTTTTTCTGAGAAAGAGTACAGGGGTAATGCATTTTTAGGACTTTGTAAATCTGATGAGTCTTTCTCTTCTTTCACCTTCCTCCTTACTATAAAGCACCACCCTGTTGCCCACAGTGGAGCTCAGTGGTTCTCCTCCTTGGCTGCTGGACGATTAGGATCATCTGGGGAATTTTGAGTACTGTGCCTGGGCCTTCTCCCGGGATTGTGATTCAATTAGTCATCACGTTGGAACATCCCAGGTGATTCTAATGCACAGCCAAGTTTAACCCCCATCTATCTAGCTTTGGCTTTGAGTGTTAGGTCCCTCTGCTCTGCCTTTGTTCCCCACCCTCTTCTTGATGCTTTTATGATTGTTTATTTGTTGTGAATTTTTTTTCTCTGGTGTTTGGGAATCTTTCTGAATGTTGGTATAAGTTTTGTTTTTCATTGTGCTGGGCAGTATGTGGATTCCTTTTAAACTAGAGTTGTTGCTCATTTTTCATTCCGAGAATTTTTTTTTTTTTAATTTTCCATTCTTTCTGTACTTCTCGTGGAATTCTTACTAGTTGAATGTTGGACTCCAGGACTGATCATCTGACTGTCTTACAATTCTCCTACTATTTTCAAAATTCTCTTATATTTCATTCTATATTTTTACTTGTGATTTTATTTTCAGGAGCTATCTTTTTATGGGGATATTCATTTTTATATAGCACTTATTCTTTCAAATCTGTGACTTTCTTTTAGTCTTTGAATTTGTTTCCTTCATGGTCCTTTGTGGTTCTCATCTTTGCCATTTACTTTAGAGACTTTCTGTGATTCCTGGCTGTTTGTTTATACTTAAAAGTGAAGCCCTGAAAAGCTTGTTAGAAGTTGATTATATTGGGCATGGTGTTTGTAGTGGAGGTCTGGCTATTTTGTAGTGTACCTTAGTGAGGAATCCTTCAACAGATTCAAGAGAGTTAACCATAGACATAATTGAAAGGTTTGTTTTCTTGCTATAGTATATCAGTTCAGAGGGTCAATTTGTTTTTATGAGCTGTGTGTGTGTACATATCCTTTAAGTTATTTGCCTACTTACTTAACATGTAAAGAGGATACTTACGCTCCTTTACATGATTATAGAATTTTATATTTTCTTCTGTGATGATGATTTGATTTTTTTTTAAAGATTTATTTATTTATTTATACAGAACTGGGGTATAGGCCAGAGATGCGGAGGGTGAGAGGATTCACCAGAGACAGAGTGGGGAGCAGAACAGACAGATCGAGGAAGTACACTGCTGAGGGGAGCAGCGGGCGGGTCAGGAGAGGTCTGCCACGCCATGTGGTCACCTCCCGGGGCAGGCGGGAATCGAACTCATACGGAAGCGGGTTTAGATTCTCAGTGCTGTGCTTTTAACCCGCTGCGCCACCAGGGAGGGCCCGATGATGATTTGATTTTAAGTGCCATGTCTGCTAATAAGAAAGCAATTCCCTAACTGTGGCATTGGCTATATCTGCTGATAAGAATATAATTCCCTAATTATGGCACTGTGAATTACTTGTGGCAAAAACATGCAGGTTACTTGTACTGTGAGCAGCTCCTATTAGGCATCTGTGTAGAGTCAGCCACACATAACATATAAAGGCCTCTGCACAATCATAGTGTCAGGACACAGATGAATTTCCCCACCCTGTTGGGATTCTTCTAAGGCTGGATGGACAAACAAATTAACATTAGACAGATTAGTAGGAGAAAGGCCAAAATTTGATAGCATATGTACAAAGGTTTATTTATTTAACTGTAAGATTTCACTTACTCACTTGAAAATGCAGCATTGTATTAAAAATCTGAAACCCAGTTTGTTAGTACTTTATTATTTCAGATATTAAAAGATTTCAGTGTATAAATAAAAGATATAGAAGTGTATGGAGAATTTAAGTGGTTATAAATCTGAAAGAATAATGGAGCGGGCCAGGGATATTTATCCTGTCTTTAGAGACCTGGGCCACCAAGGGCTGGGGGCCCCATTTCACATGACACTTTCAGAAAGGGTTACCTTAGCCTTACTCTGACAGTAAAGATGAGATCCTTAGATTGAGAGGACATGTTCACTGATAAGCCTACAACTCCATGAGACCCCCCCCCCATTCTTCCAGGTTATTGAAGGGGGACAGTGATGACTTTTCTTGTTAGGAAAAGGGTAGAAACTTAGAAGGAAATGATCTCTTCTATTAGGGAAGGGTGAGGGACTTGGGCAAGGACAGGAGCTTCTTTTAGCCTCAGGGATTTCATTGCTCTTGACTAAAAATACTCTGCATGCCGGAGTAGGGTGTCTGAATAATCCCAATGTAAGAATCTTGGGTGTCTTGATTCAGGTACCTTCAATGACACCTATAGATAGTTTATATTTGAAAGTTTTCCCCTTTTATTCCAGTTTTGTGGTTTCATGTTTTTATAATCCACAAGAAAAATGTCTTTCTCTATAAGGGACTTACAGCTTTAATAGAATAGATGCTAATATTACTTTTCTCAAGTGCTTAATACCCTGGAGAAATACATTACGCTTAGCTGATATTTTAATTGGTGATGATGGACAAGAGAGAAGTTACTTGTTATTCCACTAGGTGTGGTAATTATCGTGTTGGATAGTGAGTTTTAAATTTTAGCAATGAAATGTAGAAAACACAAAAAATTGAATTTCTAAGAAAATACTGTGTTACATTATGAATTTATAGAAAAATTGCAGGACTCCTGATGAGCAAGTTCCTGATCCTTTTAGTTCAACAGTTATAAAATGGTCATTTTAAATTTAATTGGTAACTTTCTTAATATTTTTGAGCCCCTGTTCTGTATGAAAGCTTTGATTCTTGGTTAAATTAAAGTTTTACAATTTTGTGAGTTATAATATGGGATAATTTTATTTACAAAGTTAATGCAATCTAATTTGTAGCTAGTTACTTTGTAAATTGATTTATCTGTGTTTTCCTTTTTGCATATTCCAAGTATTAGGATTAGATTCATGTATTTCTGCTCAAGAAAAAAAGTCTCAAAAGAGAATCTCATTTTGAGATTCTATGCAACTTTTAGGGTTTTTTGTTAGAAATGGTTAATGACTTTAGAGTATGAGCAAGTCTTACTGGGACAGACTCCCTTCTTTAAGGCAGAAATACAATTCCATGATTGGGGAAGATTTTTTCATACCTTATTGCTATATGTAATCATGTACATTTTATTTTCACCCATTTGAATACAAGTAGCATTAAAACTTACCAAATTCCTTCATGAAGTATTAGGACTAGAGAAAGATGTGTATAGGAACGATGGAATGCTGCCAGCTTTTAAAAAACAATAAAATCTTTCCATTTGCAGAAATGTGGATTTTATCCTAAGAAATAATTCAGGAGAAAATTCTGGGTGATTGCACCCATGTGGAAACAAAGAAACAAAACAAAGAAACAGATAAAACTAAGCTAAAACAAACTCTAGAAATCTTGACTGCAAAGCTGAGGCTACCAGAGAGGGAGAGTAGGGGAAGGGGAGAGGGCCCGGTGGACCATGAGGAGCAGGAGTGCCTCGGTGTAGGTAGGAAATGGGAACATGAGTCTGAAAAGGTGTGAACCTACATCCGTATGCCACAGAGTGTTGTAAACGATCGTTACTTCAGGGTGAAGTAATCCAATTAAAAATAAAAATGATGATTAGGACTACTAAAAAAACGAGGGGACCTTACTCTTGGGTAACTATTACTTTTCTCTTGCAGTGGAATAATAAGCAGAAATACGACTTTATTCAGGAAACCATTTTTTAAATTTATAGCTGCTACTCCAATGGTAAACATTGAGTGACAGCACGTGCTTTACCAGAGTTTTATAACCGAGTGTGTTTCACAGCTTGGGCAGCACTAAAGCACTTTGATTTTATGTAAAGTTTGGTTCAAACAATTTTAATGTAAGCCTCTTAACTTTTGTACTGTCTTGATTGCATCTCGTCTCTAATCTTATTACTGCTGCAGACAACATCTTGTGTGGTTCTATTTTAACTGCTCAGGACTTTTTAGGAGTTATATCAGAATTGCACTGTTAGTTCTTCCATCAGTCTAAAGTGGCACTTCCCAAAGTACATGCTTGAGGTCTGAGGACAGAGGAAGTGCTGCCTGCTGTCAGCATTGCAGACCTGCAGCACACTCGTGAGGCCCTGGGAGCTTGGAGAAGGTCTTTGATAAAAGACATGTTAGAATGTTCAACAGAGGTTTTTCACAAATTTCTTTGACCAGGGAACTTCTTTCTGTAGAAGACCTGTTGGCATTACTTGATGTTATTCACTCACCTAAGGCAAATGATTTCTTTGTCAGCTACCAGTCATTTCTGTGTGTGTGCAGCTAGGTTTAAATCACTTGGTGCAGTGTTTTCCAAAACAGGTTTTGGGAATATTATTAAATGTTACTTAAAAGTGTGTGGACACATAAATTTTACCTTTTTAAATAGATAATAGAGATGATATTTAAAGATCCATTATGTATGTGCTAGGTGGGTTTCAAGGCTTTTAAAACAACACAATGGAGCCCTCACTTTAATTTCTAATGTATATTTTCAAACCAGATAAATATGTAAAACAGATCAAGGAGTAGCTGGTCTAGTTGAAGTGTGTGTGAAGAGGTCTTAAGCCTCTTCAGAAACACTCTGATACGTGAGGAAGCCTCTGACCTGAGACCTGCTCGTCTAGTCCCCCGCCAGAGAAGTGGGATCCACATATGAACCCCACGACCATGTGTTTTGGACATAAACCTGTGTCATTCCTGAGTGTTTTTCTTCTATAATAACAGAATGGAATAGTTGTACCTTATGGCCCACAAAGCTTAACATTATGTAGGCCCTTTGTAGAACAAGTTTGCTAATCTTGATGTTACTAGTTCATAAAAATCAAACAAATTCCAGTTAGTTTTATCCATTTCCAGCAATTCATTCCTGGATCTTTATAATTGTCCTTTTTCCATTTCCTTTTGTTGCAGGTTAAGCATTTTTTAAAGGAAAGAACCAGTCACTATTCTAATTTACCTTAGCCTATTTATAAAGCAATTTCCAAAGCAAGCTAAGTAATGTGATACAGTTTCAAATATTTGAAACATTTCTGTAAGAAAATGTTTTTAACATCTTTTTTCCATATTCTTTTGATTCAATAAAACTTGAATAGAGCTTCACAGAAGTTTTCTTAATGTTAATAAGTTTTGCTTCTTTTGCAACTAATGCATTGCATGTGCTGGTTTGCAGTGGTATCATTGGTCGTAGCAGGAAAGATTTCAAGAGATACTTATTCAACTTCATCGCTGCCATGCCTCTCGTAAGTGTAATAATTCTTTGAAACCTTTGCATAGGGGAGATTTCACATCTTATCAAAACTCTTTAAGGATTTTTACTTAGTAAGTTCTTTAAAGACTTAAGAGAATATGATCCTATTTCAAGTTTGGTTTTATAACTTATAGCAGAAGGTTTCAATGTAAATCTTTACACTAGCTAGAAAAATTAAGAGGAATTACTTTTGGCTCAGTTTTACTGGTAGTGTTCCTGGGTGGAAATTTCTCCCCTTAAACCTGCAAGTCAGGGTTTCTTGAATGTCGTCTCCCACTAGAAGGCAGTAGTGCTCCTCCCCAAGTTGGGACAGCCAGCCTGTCTCCAGACTCTGGCCACCTCCTGAGCGAGCTGGGGGGCAGTCACCGAGCTGGTCAGCACTGCTTTACACCTTAAACTACTATAGTAACATGAGCTAGTTAATGGAGTTAAATTGGTATTTATGTAAAATAAAAATAAGGGGCCTAAAACATAGTGATTTTCTTAATTTGTTTTTTTATTCTTGGCATTATAGGTATTTTAGTCTTATAAATGTGGCCATTAAAAAAAGATGCATGATTGAAAAATCTAGTTAGAAAGTGTATCAGATACTGTACTTTAGTAAAGCTTGTGAGTAAACATAGGTTTTAGGCCTTTTAAAATAAACTGAGATAAACAGTGTAGAGATCAAAGTTTGAGACTGAACAGAGGAGTGGTGTTTTTTGTTTGAGAAAATTTTTATGTAGATGAATCTGGAGCTAAGCAAGTATTTTAATAGGATGAAAAAGAACAGTAAGATGACTGGGATCAATAATCTGAAAAATGGCAGTTTGGTATAAAACGTGATGTCGTAATTAAGTGCAATGTGTATAGAACTCCATTGTCTAGTGATATAGTGCTGATAGTTTAATATAAATATCAGGGCTCTAAATACAGGTGTTTACGATGGATAGAGGGTGACAGAATTGACCTTTTGTTTGAAGACACTTCTCATAATTAACAACAGCAACATTCTAAAGTATAGTTCCTGGAAAAGTTCAGTATTTTAGGATAATATAGCCAGTTTAACATGTTCTGTTTGTATCTTTGTAAATTTTAAGTAAAACGTTTATTGATACCAATTTAGGTACTGAGTTATAAAAATGTAGAAATGATGTAAAATCAGTTAACATGTATTTGTCTGTTTGTTTTAGATATCTCTGGTTAATAATTTCTTGAAGTTTGGGTTAAATGAGCTCAAACTGTGCTTCCGAGTAAGACTAACGAAATACCTCTATGAGGAGTATCTCCAGTAAGTGATCCCTGTTTTCTGTGTTACTGATTCTTAAATTGAGCAGTAATATTCATGATATTGAGATGTGGAACTTGTTCTTTTTCTTTTTTTTGTCTGAGACTTCCTAACTGGTCTCCTGAATAGACTTGGTTCCCTTCTAATCTGTGCTTCACTGCTACCAGAATATTCTTTCCAAACCACAAGTGTTATTATCTCCCCTCCCTGCTTAGAGCACCTCAAAAAGCTTCCTATTGCTTTTACAATAGAGACCCACATTCTTACATGGTTTGCCCCTGTCTACCTTTCTGCTCTGTGCTTGAGCCTCATGAGCCTTCTGGTTTCTTGGAGGAACCATTCTCCCTCCTGCCAAATGGATTCCCTTTGAATAGCTTGTTCCCTCTGCATGGACTGTCTCCTACCCTGTTTGGTTAACAGAGGTTAGCATCATTATATTTATAGTGAGATGTGAACTCCATTCTTTCTTTAAGGAATGCCTTCTCTCACCTCTCAGAGTGAAGGAATTCTCCCTAATTACATACTCTCTAGTTATATATGCAATATATGTGTGTATATATAAATTCTGGACACTACACTTTTTTGGTGTTGGGGGGTGGGGTGTTACTGATTGATTAGTATTTCTCTCTCTCTCTAATTATAAACTCCAAGAAGTTACCTGAGTTCATTTTTTTAAGTAATATAATAGTTTATTTTTACATCATTTTGTACTTTTTTTTTTTCATCTCAATTGTAATCCCCGTGGGTTTCCCATCACCGGGTCACCCATGTGCCATCACCATAGTCCCATGCACTCCTCCCCTACCCCCCATTTTTGATCCCATTCCCCACTCCACCCCCACAAAATGTCTCTGGTATATGGCTGTTCATTATTCTTATTATTTTCTACCCTGGCCCCTTAGAATCCTGCTATGAGTGAAACCATCAGAACTTTTTCTTTTTTATTGGATTTTTTTTTTCCCCAAGAAAATTGCTCCTAGACCCGGAAATGTGTAGGGAAAGACCTCTGCTCTCTGGAGTTTAGTTCTGGCTCTTCATTGGGAGGTCATTATTCTCTGAGTTTGCTTTCTTTAGCTCTGAGATAAATTAGGAAAACCTGTAGACCCTCTCCAGGGCCACACTTTTCTGTTTTTATGAATTTGCAATAGGCAGCATAGTGTGATTTTGTTGTCGTTTTTCAAAATCATGTGTTTTAAAGTCATTTTCTTCCTGCTATTTAGAGCATTCACGTATTATAAAATGGGAAATCTGGACAACAGAATAGCTAATCCAGACCAGCTGCTCACACAAGATGTGGAAAAATTTTGTAACAGTGTAGTTGATCTGTATTCGAATCTTAGTAAGGTAAGTTTTGGTGGCTTTGTTATTTGCTAATTTGTTGAATTTTGAATCTAAACAAGTTTTTGTAAAATTGATTCATGGATATAACACGAACATATATTTGATGTTCCTATGAGAAAATGAGAGTTGCGATAGTAATTTTTAGATACAGTCACTTAATTATTTTAATAGTATTTTTTTGTGAGGTGCTTTGGCCAAGAACTGAGAATGTAGTGTTTTCTCAAGATTTTTTTTTTAAATCTGCATTATACTTTACTGAAGATCTTTTATTATTATTATTCTTATATTAGTTTATTTTTACATATTTTTGTGCATTTTTCCATCTCAGTTTTAATCCCCTTGGGTTTCCCATCACCAGGTCACCCATGTGCCATCATTTTCTCAAGATTTAATGAGAATTTTGAGGTTGATTTCATTGAAACAACATTTAACTATCTCTTTGCTTGCTTTTAGCAATTGCTAGATAGTCAATTTGGATTTCCAATTTTACTTCCATTATCATTCCTTCCCTTTTTCTTGCCTTAGTATCTCCAATTCTAATAAGTCATTTAAGTACTAGACAAAAACAAACAAAACAAGATACTAGTTTTAGTTTTCTATTATTCTCCTTTCCTGTAATATTATCAAATCTCTTACCTTAAATAGTTTTCTTCTTCCTGCTAATTTCTTCAGTTCTTACTTAACTTGCCTCATTTCACCACCCTTAGAGCTTTGGCTGGCATCTCCTTGCTAACCACCTCCCTTGCCACTGCCTGCTGTATTGACCAGTACGTGACTGTGGGGACCTACAGGGTTGTCTACTCACCATCCCCTCTCCTGTTCTTCTCATGCCCCTTTTCCCACTCCAGCCCATACTGCAGCCTTCGTCTCAAACTGGGTTATATTTGGTATCTTTGACTTTGGCCACAATGGTCCAAGTATCCAAATTTGAGGCCAAAACTATATCCAAGGGGCTGGGTCACAACTTTGCTTCAACCATGTGATTGGAGAAAGGACAGGCAGTTCTTGGGAACTGTATCCATTGAACACTTCCCTCTCCTTCCTAGGTCACTACTAAACCCAGTCTCTTCGGCTCAAACTCTGTTGTTTATTTAGCTCTCTAGGAGCCATTACTAATTCCAAACTCTCAGACCCTGACAAGCACAAATAGTTCTGTGACTCGGCTTTCTTTACCGCTCTTATCATCATGTTTTTAAGGTGTTTCTCTTTCTATGTGTGTTGAGGGGAGATGTATAGAAAACTTTTCATGTAGTTCTGTAGACTTCTTGGTACTTGAGTATACCTGTCACTCAGATTATGTCATACTGCAACAGAGAAAATTAATTCTGGTGCTGTGTATTTCAATATATTTGAACTCTGACTTAAGTTCAGTAAGTTCTAAATCTACTTGAATTTAACTAGCGTGTCTAGCTTCTTGATAATTTGAGACAAAAAACAAAGAGTTCATCTTAGTACAGTTTGAATAAATAAGCCAGTCATCTTTCATCTTTCCTAGTAACAATGCAGGTAATATTCAGAAAGGGGTGGCAATTGTGTCCGTGGATGGACACAATTTGCATTTTTTGAAAAACATTTCAAAATAATGTATAATTGTTCAGTCATTTGAATTGGCATGCTGTGTGAAGAGAAATACATTAATTTTCTTTTTAGTTTTGAATTTTTTATCAGGACATTAGATTCTTAAATTCACTAGATTATTTCAACATGTAGCTGTGATAAAGTAATACAAGCAAATAGTATTAAGAGTGGGAAGAGCCTCTTATAGGTGGTTAAAAATATATAGAAGGCCCTCCCTGGTGGCGCAGCGGGTTAAAAGCACAGCACTGAGAATCTAAAACCGCTTCCGCATGAGTTCGATTCCCGCCTGCCCTGGGGGTGACCACATGGCGTGGCAGACCTCTCCTGACCCGCCCGCTGCTCCCCTCAGCAGTGTACTTCGTCGATCTGCCTGTTCTGTTCCCCACTCTGTCTCTGGTGAAGCCTCTCACCGCCCCTGAGCTTCTGGCCTGTACCCCAGTTCTGTATGTACAAATAAATAAATATTTAAAAAAAAAAATATATATATATATAGAAACCAGAAAAGTTGGTAACAAATTTAGGATTGCTATTCAAGTTATTAATACCTGGAGTGTCTTTACATTTAGAAATTACTAAGTTGCTAACAGCTAATTGTTATAGTAGGGCCATCTTAGTTGATAGAAAGTGATGTTTTCCCCAATTGATAGTAAATCTTGGTCAGCCTGTCTCCATTTTAAGTTTCTTGAGAATAAGAACCATGTCTTTTTTTTTTTTTAAAGATTTATTTATTTATGCATATAGAATTGGGGTGCAGGCCAGAGGGACAGAGGTGATGAGAGGATTCACCAGAGACAGAGTGGGGAGCAGAACAGTCAGATTGATGAAATACACTGCTGAGGGGAGCAGACAGGAGAGGTCTGCTGCACCATGTGGATCACCTCCCTGGCAGGGGATCAAACTCGTGCTCTAATGGCTGCAGTTAGCTTCACAGTGCTGTGCTTCAAGCCTTTGTGCCACCAGGGAAGGCCCAGAACTGTGTCTTTTATATGTTCATCGATCTACATACTGTTATAGTACAGAAAACTCCACAGGTTGGCAATTATGAGCTACATGTTGAACATCATTCTGTATGTGACATGTATTAGCCATCAGTCCTGGTAATCCAGTTTTTTTTTAAAATTCTGTATCTTCTGTTTATTTTGCAGCCATTTTTAGACATAGTTTTGTATATCTTCAAGTTAACAAGTGCAATAGGAGCTCAGGTGGGTTGGCTTTTTTCTCTCTTCAATTGCGGTAATGCTGTGTGGTGAATGGGTGAATGATTTGTGAATATTTCAAAGAATGTGTTTTATAAGATGTATGTATAAAGTCTGGTTATAACATAATATGTAATTTAAAAAGTATTCTAATTTGCCTTTCTAATTTCTCTTACGTAAGATTCTTAGAAATTTCTTGTGGCTTTGATCAAAAGTACTTAAACATTGACAAATATACTTACTGCTTTACTGTTTCAAAATTATGTCTAAAATGTGATTTGGAGGAAAAGTCTAAATAGTTATTTGATATGTAATGTTATTTTAATATATTTATAATAACTACCACAGTTTTATTGTATATATGTATATACCTTTTTATTTGATTAAATAAAAAAAAATTATAGTGACTTTGTTCCCTTACAATGTACAATAGAAAGTAGTTTTTAAAAATTTTGTTGTCTTCTTAACACGTTGCTGTCCATGATTCAGTTTAATCATGTAGCGCATTTTTGCTATGAACAAAAAATATTTCTGCTATGCTGTGTTTGGGTTCTTACAAGTGATGGGGCTAGACATAAAATCTGGGATGAGAAAAGGAAGACTTCTTAAGGAATTGTAACATTCAAAGAGAAGGGAAAAAAGAGGTCTGACAGTTTTTGTGGATTCTAAACTAGAGACCATCCCAAAGAGGCCCGCCATAGAATTTAAGATGTCATACCAGAGTGATGACTGTGCCTGGGATTTTTTCACTGAGCAAATTCAGGAGAATTGGAGGATGAACTGCAGTGTTTGGAGGAAAGTAGATGAGTAGTAGAAGTGTGAAGACCCAGTATCTTGTGAGAAAAGAAACAGTGAAGGGGAAATAATTAGTCAAAAGAACGATTTCTCTCAAAGTCATCTGTACGTGCTACATCTCGTGAATATAGGGTCCCTGAACTTTGTCCGTTCTCTCCCTGTAAATAGGGCCCAGCTAGCATGATGGCTTACTTGGTCATGTCTGGGTTGTTCCTAACTCGGCTTAGAAGACCCATCGGTAAGATGACAATAACTGAGCAAAAGTATGAAGGAGAATATAGATATGTTAATTCCCGGCTCATCACAAACAGGTAAGGAAAAGTGTATTAAAGGTGTTTAGTTGCACTAAAAACTTATTTTAATGGGTATTGGTCATATAAGTTGACTCCAGAAGTCTGGTAGCGCTGACTGAAGCTGGGTGTGTGTGTGTGTTTACTCCTTTTGTAAATATTCATTATGAAGGGTATTAGTTTTAGAAAGTAGTATTCTGAACATTCTTAACTCTTTCTTAATAATGCAGTATCCCTTATTTGTCTCTTTTAGTGACTAATATTCCATTAGTTTCACTCTAAACATGGTCAAGGTTTAGTTTAAAATACATTTATAGAATCTTCAAAGAAAATTTTGTTTCAATTTACTCAAATGTTTTTCTTTTGAGACTGTGTGTTTGGTGTTTTCAGCAATTCTGTCTTTCTAGCCTATTTTCCAGATAGTTTAAAAATCCAAAATAGAAAAAAAGTCTTGTGTTTTGGTGCCAACATGACTAATTTTCAAAATTTATCTCACCTACTTAATGGTTATATATTATGTGACTTCTGGGAAGTTATTTTGGAAAACAAGTAGCTCTACTCTTTGTTTATAAAGGAAGACTTTTAGCAAATTATACATAGCCTCACTTTTAAATAGTTTATAATAGGATTCTTGTGGGGTTAAATATGAAATGCAAAGCTTTTAGCACAGTGTTGGGTGGATAGCAGATGTTTAATAAATTTTCTTATTTTGATGTGTCAACCTTAAGTCATTTTGAGGCTCTTAGTTCTTTTTCCCCTGCTTTATAGGCCTTTATAAATTACTTATTCGGAAATTTCTCTTTGAGTAGCTTCCTTTATTTCCTTGGATTGCCTCAAATGTGCCAGTTTTTTAAGATTTTGTACTCTCAGGCAGCTGAGGAATAGGGAGGTTAAGTAGAAGAGGTGATTTACCAGGTGAATGAAAGACAGTACCAGCTAGAATGTCTCCTGCTGCAGAAAGGTAGAAACCCTGACTCTGAATGTGCTAAAAGCAAAGCCATTGCGCATGCACTTGGGCATGCCGAAGCTGGAGCAGTTCTAGTGCAGTGTGGCAGGGATCTGGCCTTTGTGCCCTGACTGTTCTCCTTTGTGTGCTGCTCAGCCTGATTCTTGTGATTTCAGGGTGGCAAAAGAAGTTCAGATCTTACTGAACCTTCTCTCCAGAAAATCCGGAAGCAAAATGGGCCATTTCTTCTGCTAGCTTATTAAGAGAACAAGGAACTTTCCCAGAAGCCCTTGTCACGCACTTGCTCCCACATTTCATTCACCTGAATTGCCCATACTTAGGTCAGTTCCAGCAAAGCAGTCGCCTTGGACTACCTGGAACTCATGCCCAGTGCATGTGGCTAGCCGCTCATAAAGCATGTGGGTGCACAGAAAAGGGCAGGTAGCTTTAAGGAAATTGGGTTTTTCTTGGGAAGAAAGATGTGGAATAGAACAGAGGCTGGCAGCCACATTATTGCAGGCTTTTTTTTTTTCCTTTCAGGTCTAAGATTGCACCAAAGTGACTTAGTATAGGAGAGTTAGAATTAGAGAGTTAATGCCCTCCCTGGTGGCCAGCGGGTTAAAGCACAGCACTGAGAAGTTTAAGCCACTTCCACATGAGTTCGATCCCCGCCTGCCCCAGAGGAGACCACATGGCGTGGCAGACCTCTCCTGACCCGCGTGCTGCTCCCCTCACTTCGTCCATCTGCCTGTTCTGCTCCCCACTCTGTCTCTGGTGAATCCTCTCACCCTCCGCATCTCCGTCTGTACCCCAGTTCTGTGTGAATAAATAAATAAATCTTTAAAAAAAAAAAAAGAATTAGAGAGTTAAGAGTTCTCAACTCCTTAAGGTAGAAGGAAGTAAGGGAAATAAACACAGGCATAGGTTTGTGTTTCTTGAGCTGGGAATCTGACACACCAGTACTCTGTAGCACTGTTAAAGTAACTGAAACACAGGTCAAATGTCTATCTTAAGGAAAGTGAATTTACATGAAAGGGTTAAGTGAAAGCCACCTAGTTTTTATGTTGGGAAAAATACAGATACATTCTGGATTAGAATATAAACTTCCCAAAACTCTTAAAGGAAAAAGATTTTAAAGAAACAGTGCATACTCGTTGAAGGCTGTCTTAACTGCTTGCTATGCTGCTGTACAAACCTTTACTGTCCTCTGCTAGAAGAGGTACTTTGCTGGGGAAGTTGACATCCTACTGAGTAGAGCAGGAAGACAAAATTTCACAATCGCACATGAGTTATAGTCTTGATTGGCTTGCTGTATGTTTGGCATATTTGCTTAACTATACTGTTTTTTTTCATCTACAAAAAAATGCCCTTTTTCTACTGAAATCCTTGTGATCTTTGTGGTCCAATTCAAGTAGCTCATGGATTGTGAGGACATGGTGGGGTTCTGGGAAAAGAATGCCCAGACAGTGAGGCCCCTGGGAGCAGGCACTGTGCCCTCGGGATTTAGCATGCTTCCTCTGCTTGGAAAGGCCGCTTGTCATGGCCCTGCTCTCTTCTAGCTGTTGTTTTCCCCTCTGTGGTAGGAGTCTGAACTCAGCGTACATTTTAGGATGACTGTCCCAGTCCCATTGTGTATCATGGAAACTTCCTTCTTTTTTCAAATTTCTGATCTTTAACTCAGCCCATTTTCTCCAGCAAGATTGCATGTCAGGTGGGGATTCCTGGGTGATAAGCTGAGCTGGGGAGCCCAGAGATGGTTACCAGTATCACTTTACATACAAATATTCAGTCTTCAAATGCTGTATTTCAATTGTTGTTAGACTTAGGCAGCATTGAAACTAATAACTAAATTATTTTCCTTAATAGTGAAGAAATTGCCTTTTACAACGGGAATAAAAGAGAAAAGCAGACGATCCACTCAGTCTTCCGAAAACTGGTAAGGACATTTTTATGGGAAGATTTTTATTTTGGGGCCTGTGTCAAAATACATATACATCTTTAATTTATAAAGGTATTTATTTTTAAGTAATAATAAAGGATGTTATACTGTATTTTCATTAGAAATATAAAGGTGGTCGTATAAATATATGAAGCTGCCCATTTATAAAAGTAGGTAGATTTATTAAAATGATTGTTGGTATGTATTTAAACAGCCTTAATGGTAATAAATATAGTGACTCCTATAGACAGAATTTCTTCTTGTAGTAGTCATGAGAATAGTGTGAGAATTATTAGAGTGGGATCAGCAACCTTTTTCAATTTTTCATGCTGTATGGTTTCTGTTTTATCTATTTAATTCTGCCATGTAAAAGTGGCCTTATGCAATAAACAGAAGGGAGTGACTATATATGCGGCCAGCTTGCAGTGCTGCGTCCTAACGCGTTGCGCCACCAGGGAGATCTGGGAGTGACTATATTCTGATAAAAGTTTACAAAAACAAGTGGCAGACTGGATTGTGGGTCACAGTCTGTCGGCCCTTGACTAAGAATTCACAAACATCATTTCTTGTAAAACTGTACTTCAGATTCTGTTTACTTACCACTTGGAAAATTTGGGTTCAGGTGTTTTTATTTATTATTTGTTCAAAAGATAGCGAATGTAACATGGTCCCTGGAACATTGTTCCAGCGCTATCAATAGCAGTGGTGGACATGAGGAGGAAATTCTGCCTCTAGGAAGCTTTTGTTTCAGTGCAAGTAGTAAAATTAAATATATATTTGATGTGTTTTTAAAAGTTGTAAAAATTGTCATTTAAAGTCCAGTCAGAAATTTAAATAAGGGTATTTGCCTTATTTACATTGATCATGACTGAGCTTTGAGAGTATTCTCTGGTAATATGCATTTAAGGTAGTGTTCCAGGGGGCTTCTTTTCACCAGCTCTGTCCTCACTCTTCTTTAGATTCCAGCCCCATTTTAAAGTTACTCTTAGGGAGCCATTGCCTTCGATGAAACGGTCTCTACCAGTTAGTGGTTTCCTGTTTTAACCACGTGTCTCCTGAAGAGCATGTATTGCAGTCTGTAATTATCTGCGTTTTCTAGCTCACCACTCTCCTTAGAGTATAAACTCCATGAGTTCAGGGACCTTGTCTCTTCTGCTCACTGTTGCTTTTCCAGCCCTGAGCACAGTATTTGACATGTGGCATTTGTTGAATAAGTGGCCCAGACTTTGTTCTTTAGCTCAAGGTACTTAGCGCAAACTGCCTTAGAACTCAGCATTTTGAGGAAAATGGAAGCCAGAATTTTAGTGGAGACTATAAACATGCAAACGACTGAAATTCTTAGGATTTCAGATAGTAACAAATTCTGTGACCAAAAATACGTGGAATAAAAAGGAGTATGATGGGGTCTGCTACTAGGTATAATACCTTGGATGGCAAGGACCTCTTTCTTGAAGATGTGATTTTAGTCAGAAACCTATCTGAGGTTGGGAAGAGGGGTCAGTGACAAAATGTAAATATTTAGAAGACAGCATTTTGGCAGAGGGAAAGGTAAGGAAAAAGCTTAAAGCAGGAGTATGTTTGAGGGTCCAGTGTTTCTGGAACTCAGTGAGGGGAGCAAAGTAGAAACAGATGATGTTTAAAATCCAGCACCAGCTCAGACAGGACTTTGAATAAATTGGTCATTTTAAAATTAGTCTAAAAAAATTCCTTTTTAGAATTGTGATCCTGAAATAATGCAGGCCCAGATTAAAGCTGTGGACTTGAACTGGAGAGCATTGATTTACGTTAGGACTCGGCTCACACTGAGTCCAGTCCAAGTCTTAGAGAAGGCACAGATCAGGTGTCTCCACCTGAATAAGGCAGAGCATCGAGTGTCAGTCTGGACAGCTAGTGTCGCACTTGCATTAGATCAGTTTCGGGTTACATGTAGCCAACAAAATTTAAGTACAATATCATTATACTATTTCATGCAGAGGACACCATGTTAAATGTAATTTCCAGTTTGTAAAAATTGTTTCCTAAAGAACTTGTTTGGCATCTGTACTGAGATCAGCATCATGCTCAATGAAAGGTGATATGCAAAATAATCAGCTGTTATGGGCACTCAGCAGATGTATTCATGTTTGAATACATGAATCATGCAGTTTCCTTTATCCTTGTGGTAATTTTTTTTGTGTGTGTGCATAAAAAAATGCATATTTTTGTTTATGCTTTCTGCCAGGTGGAGCACCTACATAATTTCATTTTGTTTCGGTTCTCTATGGGCTTCATTGATAGCATAATTGCCAAATGTAAGTATGTTTGAAAAGAGTTGGTGGAACAGGATTTGTGGGAAAAGTGACCTATTTTCCACATTGTAAATCTCGACCATCTTGTTTTAGATCTTGCCACGGTGGTCGGTTACCTAGTTGTCAGTCGGCCCTTCCTAGATTTGTCTCATCCTCGACATCTCAAGAGTACACATTCGGAACTTCTGGAGGTAAAGGAGTTAACCCATAATAGTGATGAGTTAAAAAGTGACATATTAAAATGTACAAAAGCTAGTTTTTTCTCTCAGGAATATTAGTGGAAGTTAACATTTATTTCTATTTAAGGACTACTACCAAAGTGGAAGAATGCTTTTGCGAATGTCTCAGGCTCTGGGTCGAATAGTTTTGGCTGGCCGTGAAATGACTCGACTGGCTGGGTAAGATGAGCGATAATGAGCAGTTGCAGAGAATAAATTTTGGAAATGAGTCATTGTTACCGATTGTGCCCCACTGATTTTAAGGGGGAGCTGAATCTCCATTTTGTACTATTTGACACTGGTTTTAATAGAAAATAAAGGCAAATTTTTTGTTCGTGAACTTTTTGTATTTCCTTACAGCTGCTATTTTCAGTTTTAAGCTAAGATAGCGATTCTCAGGATCTCCCTGGCCACTGGTGTGCAGCCAATTGGGAAGCGTTGAGTCTTGGTACCACTTTCTTAATTCACAGAAAATTAAGTTAGTGATAGTGGAATGTTCTAATTTAAATTTTTGTGCCCAGCATATGTATTTCTTAATTTGAAGATCTTTGATATTGACAACCGAGCAAGACAGATAAGCAAAGATAAAGTTGACTTTAATGGGAAAAAACATGAAAAATTACCTGGCAGTTTATAGTTGCAGGTGTAAATATGGTCATATTATCTAGTAAAATCATTTGTAGATCATAAAATGGAATTAAATATTTCAGTATTTAATGCTGTAATATAAAGGACCTGGTATGGTGTATAAAACATGATAATATGAAAAACACTAAAAGTTATAAGTTATTTAATGAAATTTGGTCTCTTAAGACCTTTCCCAGGTCTTCTGATTCACCTGCATATTTCTTTCTTGTTCTTTTTGTTCTTTTGTGGCAGTTAAGGGCTGTGTAGCAAGATGGAAGTTGTGAAGTGTTATCAGGAGCTTCTTTCTCTTGAGAATGCTGACGTTATTCCAACTTGCTAATAAATTGTATTCACAGTTGATGGCATCTGGGGTGATTGCTTTTCTTTAGAAGTTTCTGCTTGTTTGTCTCAGAAAAAAATCCTCCCGCTTCTTTGATGAGTGTGCTTTTCTTTGACCATCGATGTTCTTACACTCCTCAATTTCTGCAGTGTGGTTTAATTGCTTGCCACTGCCACACTGATTCCTGGCCAATATTAAGGATCTTATATCTTGTCCACTCCTCATTGTAAAGAGGAATCTTCTGAATTGCAGGGAAGTGCCTGTGTTTGTGATACATACAAAAATGCCTTTTTCAGATCGGAAGGCTAGCTATAAATATGGCTTTAATAAAAATCTCACTCCTTTTGGAACTCTGGGTCTAAGTCCATTTTGAGTCTCCACTAGAAACTTCCTTAAAATTTTACAGGCAAACAGCCTTCTTGACTTACCATTTAATGAAATATCTATTTATGTGGGATTCCTTTGAATCTTCCTTTTTTAACTTCCATCTTTCTGCTTCCTCATGAAACATAATAAAACATAAAAACTCGCATTTATTTTTATATTGATGAGACTTCTTTTAGGTTATTTCATTTAAACTAAATTATAATTTTAGAAACTCGTGAATTTTGTGTAGAATAAAAGATGGGCACTTACACAATGCTATAATTCAATGAAATAAGTAATAAACAAATGAATAAACAAAAAAATAAATCTATAACAACCTTTGGTATCTTGACTGTGGTTTTCCTTTTTTTAATTTCAGTTTCACTGCTCGGATTACAGAGTTAACGCAAGTTCTAAAGGATTTAAATAATGGCAAATATGAACGCACAATGGTCTCACAACAGGAACGGGGTAAATATGAATGTGCTCGGTCATGAGGTTAAGTTTTTGCTGATATAGTTGGATGCTTTAAATCTTATTCTCTGTTTAACAGGCATTGAAGGACCACAGACAATTCCCCTAATACCTGGTGCCGGAGAAATCATCAATGCAGATAACATTATAAAGTATGTACAGGAAATATTGTTCAGCACAATGAAGTAAACATTTGTTACATTGTATAGCAGCCTTTCTCTTTTTAGCTTCTGGTGCCTTCATCTTATATAAAATTTTTCTTTTTATTAATTTTGCCGGCAGGTTTGATCATGTACCTTTAGCAACGCCAAATGGAGATATCTTGATCCGAGACCTTAATTTTGAAGTAAGTTTTTAAATGATTATTTGAAATCTTATGTCCGCTTCAAAATTGATATCAGCAGCTATTGTCAGCATATTTTAATTAATTTTAAGACTTGACTTGGCCTCTGCATCCATAAAATTGTTTTTATATCCATGTTTTGATGCAGCAGAAATCTGTTTTTCTTGGTTGAGAAATCTTAAAATTTCAAGTGTGACTATTAAAAATCTTTTGCAAGTCTGTTTTAAGAAAGTTGTAGAAGAAAGATAGTTATTTGGAATCTCCCATGTAGAATGAATATTTGCTCATGTAAATGTAATTTCAGTCTCAGTTAAAACAAAAATTGACCATGCCACCAGATCCATACCTGTGTAAGTCAGATGTTGGCTTTCTGATGACATGAGAAGAGCAGTACAATTGGCCTTCTGTAATTTGTGTTTCATGTAGAGATTTTTTCCCAAATGTTTTCATTGAGAGTTTATAAAATAAAGAGCGTAATTATCGGATTTGTTTTTAACTTATAACATTTTTTTTTAGTCACGTATATTTATTACATCCATCTCCACTTTTTAAGGAGCTAGAAAATGTTGGCTATGCAAGGTACTTTGGACTTTGCAACAATAAACATGTTAAATCACATTTATTTTTAAGCCAAGAAATGCAAGGGGAAGTAGAGAAAATGTAAATATGGGAGGTTAATATTGAATGACGCCAGAAAACTTTTTGTATTTAGCTCTTGCTGCCCCAGTGGGTTTGGTGCTCTCGGCAAAGTAGGTAGCCACCCACCAGCCTTGTTTCAGGGGTAAACAGGGTTCAGAATCCTGTCTTTGTGGGACCTGCAGTAGGCCCTTGATTGCCATTATCATAGAATACAGAAGGCCATGAGACATCTTCCCTGAGGAACCTGCTTGGTGCCTTCTCCGCTTCCCTCACTTCTCTCTATGTACGGAGCAGCGGGAGAGACAGGAGAGGCCTGCTGTGCCATGTGGGTCAGCTCCCTGGCTGGGGATTGAGCTCAGGACATAGTGGTTGTAGTCCCGAGACTTAATCTAGGCCACCAGGGAGGATCCAAAAATCACTTTACTTAAAGCACTTGTATCTGGATTTTAATACTTCTGACAAGTATAATTTTAATTCTACTATTCACAATTTTACTGTTACAGTCTCAGAAAGGCTTTTTTGCTTTTTATTTGAAAAGTCTTGTTTTAGTTCTCTGTTACATCTCTGTTCATTGAAGTATTTTACTTTCTGACCTTGAACCACCTGTTGTTTATCCTGTGATTTCTGGTTTTCTGTGTGTCCTTTGGGAGCAGAGTCTTTGACTTCTGGCCCTGTGGTCCATGGTTATGAATTCCTCTTCTGTTTCTAACTTAAGGTATTCTAAGATATATTTCGCCTTTTCTCATTTATTTTGTCTTACCATTCCTTTTCTTAACTTTCTTCTATTCCACAAATGTTCTTCATTTCTTTGTAACCTCCCACCTTTTCTGACCCACCTCTATTACTTGAAAATAAGGATTCCTTTCAGTTTGAAAGAGGCATAATAACACTGAGATTTAGACACCACAAATAAATGCTTCCTGTTTTATGATTAGTGTGTCTTTGGTTATGTAATGACCAAGTATTGTAGGCTGCTTTGCAAAGAGGTAGGAAATTTTATCTTATTCCTTTATAAATTTTCCTAGCGTGGGTATATTAATTTGTCTAGATGTATACCAAAGAGACCCTAAGAAATCAACTTTCAGGCTTTTATCTAAGGGCTAAAATAGTCCTTTGTAACTTACTCAAATTTTCACCTTCTTAGTGAAATATATTTTAATGTTTACAGAAGCCTCTAAATTTTTATACAGCATGCTTTTATAGAACCTGCTTTACTTAAGCCATATTTATATGTAGAATTTATGATGATTTATGGTGGTAAATTTGTAAGAAGTAGGCTTAATCAGGGAGTGACTTCTAGGAAAATAGTTTTATTGGTGGTGGTTCAAAGTAGTCATTGCCCAGAAAAGTAATCCAGGAATCTCAGTAGTATAGTTATTAGTAACTTAATTTTCTTAGCTTGATCTTTCCATTGTTGCTGAACAATTTTGTGACTCTGTAAATATTTATATAAATATATAGTACATACTATTTTAATCTAACACAGTTTATCAGAATCTGATCTATAGAATTATCTCTCACTAACGTATTGACTTGGAGGTTTGTTGTAGTAGAGCAACAGAAATTGTAGATGATCAGATATGTAACAAGAGAGGGTTATTTAAATAAATTACAATAGGGCCTCCTTGGTGGTACAGGGGTTAAAGTCTCTGCGCTATCAAGCTGTCACCAGCCATGCAGCCTGAGTTGGATCCTGGCCTGGAAGCTGACCCACATGGTGCAGCAGACCTCTCCTGACTGGTCCGCTGCTCCCCTCAGCTGTGTATTTCAGTAGATCCTCCTGTTCGGCTCCCCACTGTGTCTCTGTTGAGCCCTCTCACCCCTCACACCTCTGACCTAAATCCCAATTTTCTACATCCCAATTTTTGTCTTCATAAATAAATAATAAATAAATCTTTAAAAATAAATAAATAACAGTATATCTTGACTATGAAATACACTTCACATTTAAAAAAGAATGGGGGTAATTTGAATATACTGACCTGGAAGGATACCTGATACATTACAAAACAATAAGTGGGAGAATAGCATATATGGTTCCAGTTTTTAAAAGAAGAGTGTATACACATTTGTTTTTAAGAATTCTTAGTTTTTGGTTTTTTTTTTTAAAGATTTATTTATTTGTACATACAGAACTGGGGTACAGGTCAGAGACTCAGAGGTGGCGAAAGACTACCAGAGACAGAGTGGGGAGCAGAACAGGCATATCGACAAAGTACACTGCTGAGGGGAGCAGCGGGCGGGTCAGGAGAGGTCTGCCACGCCATGTGGTCACCTTTGGGGCAGGCAGGAATCAAACTCATGCAGAAATGGTTTCAGCTTCTTAGTGCAGTGCTTTAACCTGCTGCGCCACCAGGGAGGGCCCAAGAATTCTCAGTTTTTTAAGGTCAGCTTTTTGTATTCTGATTGAAGTGGTTTATCAATCACTATGACTCTTAATGGGAAAAAGTGAGTAAAAATTGAAAGCAAACAAAAGAAAAAACTTCCCTTCACTATATACTTCACTTCTACCTAATATCCCACTTAGGCAAAGTAGAAAGTTATTATCAGCAAAGAGTTGTTTGATCCTAAGGAAGCGTTCACCCAGTATATAATTCCTCTATAAATTAGTCACAGACTGATTTTCCTTTCAGGTTCGATCTGGAGCCAATGTTCTCATTTGTGGTCCAAATGGCTGTGGGAAGAGTTCACTTTTCCGTGTTCTTGGTGAAGTGAGTACAGCTCACTTAAAAGTTGTGCATCTTTTTTTCCCCACTAACTGCCACATTGTGAAATAACTGACTGTGCCTCTCCACCCCTGTTCTTTCACAGTTATGGCCGCTTTTTGGAGGACGTCTTACTAAACCAGAAAGGGGGAAGTTATTTTATGTTCCCCAGGTGAGACCTTGTTTGAGTTATTTTGTGACCTTATCGATATAAAAGCCTTTTTACTTATATTTGAAACATTGGTTCTAACGACGTTCACTGTCCTGCTACCAGAGACCGTACATGACCCTTGGAACTCTACGAGACCAAGTGATCTATCCAGATGGAAAAGAAGATCAGAAAAGGAAGGGGATATCTGACCTTGTAAGGGAATGTTTCTGTCTAGATTACTGAAAAGACTCCTATTTAATGTTCTTTATCTTACCCATTAAGTGATGTAAATACCGGGTAGTCTGTCCTAATCTGTAAAGCCTTTCAAAGCCTGTCATAGTTGAAACTTTCCTAGTTGAGGTGAAATGTTAACCTCTGTGCTTAATATGACTTCCTGGGTGTTGAGCTTTGGCTTTATGCTATTGCTTGTTTTCTCATGGTCCTTACCCTTTAATTACGCACTGTAATAGTGTGCTCTCTAAACTACTAGTTAACATAAAGAGGAACCACAGGGCTTAGGGCTATCTTTGTGCCACATTCTTTTATGAAATGTGTCCCTTCAGTGATACTAGTGATGCAGTTAGGGCTATTCTAATTTAAAAGATAAAGTAAGATAAAGATTGTTGGCTTATAAGAAGCTTGATTTCATCTTTAATTATTTTATGGAAAGGTACTGAAGGAATATTTAGACAATGTCCAGTTGGGTCATATCCTTGAACGTGAAGGAGGCTGGGACAGTGTTCAAGATTGGATGGATGTCCTCAGTGGTGGAGAGAAGCAGAGAATGGCGGTGAGTGTGCTGGAAAACACTGCATGAAAATGCACAGGCTACATGAGCCTGGTGTTTTACTTAACCAAGGCACAAAGTTCTACTTTAATATTTTTATATGACAATTATTACAATATCGATTCAGTGATTTAAATGTGCTTTAAAATGTATTATTTGTATGTAAATGTGAAGTTCAATAATTTCATAAAAATGCTGCTAATGCCTCTGAAAGAACAAGCTACAGATCCAATTATCCACACTTACCCATTTTTCTAAAAGCTGGGAAACTGTAGCATACCGGTTCTGGAACCTGTGGTTATCTGGTTGGTCCTGAGATCTCTTCAGTATCTTCTCTATCCCGACATCTTTGTCTCCCTCTGGCTGTTCTTTGGAGTAGCTGAAGGCATGGGGGATGTTTAACTCATTTCATTCTTTAGTCTCTTCTTGTCCTTTCCAGTCACCATTATGTATAGTTTTATTTCAAGGCTTGGTACCTGCTACAGCAAGTTATTTAGAATTCTTTTTCTAAAATAGCGAAGCATTTGAAAGGAACTGTTTTAATTTTATGACTGATAAACATAATGACCAAGCACATGATATTGAGTGATACTTGAGTATTATGCTAAGGGGTAATTTTTAAAGAATCATTTTCTAATTGTACACATCATAGTTTGAGTAGATCTGGAGAAAATCCCCCCCTAGAGAGTTAGCCTTGTAAAAACTAGAGAAAAGTGTAACCAAGCAAAAGAATGGCTATTGCAGAATTGCTTACTCATTACTCTCCTTTTATTGTCTCCTATTCCTTTACTGTATATGTTGCTTTAGTCAGAATCATCCCAGTCCTATGTAAACTTAATATTAACCTAATACTGTGACTTGGCTAGTGTTATGAGATTAAAGTGTAGAATGAATCTTTAAAAAAGGTATCAGCCTGGCCCTCCCTGGTGCGCAGCGGGTTAAAGCACAGCACTGAGAATCTAAAAGCCGCTTGAGCATGAGTTCAATTCCCCCCTCCCCCGGAGGTGACCACATGGCGTGGCAGACCTCTCCTGACCCGCCCGCTGCTCCCCTCAGCAGTGTACTTCGTCGATCTGCCTGTTCTGTTCCCCACTCTGTCTCTGGTGAAGCCTCTCACCGCCCCTGAGCCTCTGGCCTGTACCTGAGTTCTGTATGCACAAATAAATAAATCTTAAAAAAAAAAAAAGGTATCAGCCTTATTAAAAATGGAAATTGGTCTGAAAAAGTAAGAATTTGAAGTGATTTTGCATTTCTGGAATCTGTTTAGTTGGTGACTATAGCAGTAACTGCAAGTCAAGAAGAAAATTAAATTTCTATACTCCGATTTCAAAGGAAAAAGGAGGATAAGCCAGATTGTCGAGTGGACACAGTGAGAATACAGAGAAAGAATAATAAATTAAGGAATGCTGAGTAACTGGTGAAAAGCTATTTGGGGGTAGTTTTTATTTAAAAAAAAAAAAAAATCCTAGGGTTTGCATAGAGAATGAGAGGATATCCTAGAAGAGAGAGTGGGAAGGAACCTTTGAAACCAGATGATGTATAATTGTTTGAGAAGTGGAGAAAATTCAGGCCATAACACTGCTCAAAAGCAGGCTATTGACGGCGCATGTTCCTGGTAGGCTTTTAAAGGACTGAATGGAGGCTTGAAAAAGCGCATCATGTGTTGCTGCATCAAAGATTTCAAGGGGAGAGGGAGAGAGGCTGATGCAACTGATGCTTCTGTAGGTGAAGCTGGGAGTGTGTGTGTTCGTGTTACTCGTCTTTCAGTCATACATAGAGTAGGATTAACAATTTGGAGGAACTAGTGAGGGAGGAGAAGACATAATTTTTAGGAATAGTCTTGCAAGGCTTAGCCCCCTTAAGCTGAGTCTGTAAGACTGAAAGTTTGGACCAAGGGGTCCTGTGTGTGTGTGTGTATGGGGGGGGAGGTGTCAAGATTTGAATTTGGAAAAGTTTCTGAGAGTGAACTAATACTGAAAAAAGAGAGGTCTAGTGAACAAATTTCTAAAAAGCTCTTTGAAAAAGACTGAAAATAAATATAAGGAAGCGAGATATTAACCCATTGTTTTAGTAGTGAAAAATTGTGTTATGATTTGCATAGCGGTCTGTATTAGCTGAGCTGCTCTGAGTAAGGCGCTAAGCGCCAGCCCTTTTGGTCTAATGAGATCGAATATTCGCCACTAACGGTCAAGGCTGCCCTCAGAGAGAGCTGCCCAGAAGGTGCACGGGATGATGACGCGCATACGGTTGCTTTTGAGGGCAGCTTACCTCACCTCCCACCAGCCTTGCAGGAGGCAGAGCAGGGCCAGATGGCGCGGTTCCCGCCAGATGCCGCTCCCACCGCCCTGGTGGAGCCGTCGCTGGGGACTGAGCGTCCAGATCTCTGGCTCCGTGTCCCTTGAACGCGCGGGCGACATTTCTTGCCTTGTCCCAGTCACCGTCGTCAGGGTCGCTTCTTACGGTGTCATGAGTTGGGATCTTTTTTTCCTCTGGCCATAATTATTTTTCACCCAACCTCTCTCGTTACTCTTTAATTGGTAAGGGGTTTTCTTATTTTAAAGCTAAGAACAGAACACAAAAGATGAATTATTTATGAAAGCATAGAGGGGCCAAAACTCCCCTGACCAAAAGTACACTTTCATAAAATTTTTAGTGTTCTTTAAAAGTCCACTTCGTCATTCTTTCACTTTTACTTCATTGGCAACTGTGCCCCTTCTTGGACGGCTCCCCAAGCTCTGGAGAGCCGGCCGCGGGCTTTCCTACAGCGGAGCCTTCCCGTTACCATCTCTCCTGTCCAGTACCGACTCACTGGCCCGGCACTGGCCATGGCAGGTGCTCAGGGGAGATTTCTTGAAGGGAGGAACAGATGACCCTTTCCCCTTCACTTCCCTTCTCAGTTTTCACTACTTCGTATCACCTAAAGGCCAGCCCGGGCACAGTTGTTTTCCTTGGCACTGCTGACTGTCGGCTGGTGGGCACAGCTAAGAAAGCAGGGTCAGTTTGGGCTGGTGCCCCGACGCCGCTGGCCTCCAGCCCTCCAGCGGCCCTCATGTTTCTTGATTTCCCCTACCCCCCTCTTTTTATGGTAATAATTTAAAGAACGGCTAGACTCATCCTTTCTATCCCAGTGTCTGCCCTAAAACTGCGGGCAGGTGACTCTTCATGAAAAGAGAAGCTGCGATGCAGTTCAGTGGCAGCTAGTTTTACTGGGTGCTTAGTCAGCGACATGCAGGTGACTTCATTTAATTTCCACACTGGTCCTGTGAGCAAAGGACTGACGAGCCCAGGTTAGAGGGGAGATTGGGCCTTTGAACCATTCAGGAACTTGCTGCTCAAAGCTAGGTAGTGACTGTTAAAGCTGGGGGTGTTGTGAGCCTCAAGCTGCAGGGCTCATAGACGCAAAGCACAGCTGTCTCCCTGAGTGGCGTGGTGACTTCACCGGTTTCATCATGGGAGAAAGTGTCCACGTCCAGTGGTAAATGTGTGAGGAGGATTGAGAGAGTTCTGTGGAACCAGAGAGGGACTTTGGAATGCCTTGAATAAACGCTGTTCTTTTTTTCTTTTTTTTAAAGGATCACTGAAATTTCATTCTGTAGTTAGTTAATTAAAAATAAACAGAGCCAAGACAAGATCTTAGCCTGTTTCTTAGCTGGTAGGAGTGGGGGGTGGAATGGCCACAGTGTTTGACAGGATAAAAAAATGTTGGGAGAAGTTAAGCATGTGCCTTTTATTTAATGGAAGAAATTGCCTTCATCTACCATCTGATAATCTTTATTATTAATTCATGCATAGAGCATTAAAACCATGATTTTTCTTTTTTACATTCTTCCCAGAACCTCTTTTTTATCTTTTTAAATTTTATTTTATATATTTTTTACATCATTCTTCATTTTTGTACAGCATATACTTTCTCATCTTGTGTATGGTCCCCAAGAAACTCCCATCAGCAGTTCATCTGTGCACCATGACCATAGTCTCTTGTGCTCTTCCCACCTTGTTTTGATCCAATTTCCTCCCCTCACCCCCTAAAGAATGTCTCTGATTTATAGTTGCTGGTTGGTTTTGATTTTTACTTTGTTATAATTACTTCCTCCCCGTCCTCAGCCCCTCATTTGGGTCTCCTATATTCCTCCTGTAAGTGAAACCATCCAGTATTTTTCTTTTTCTTTCTGGCTTATTTCACTGAGCATGATCCCTTCCAGCTCCATCCATGTTTCTACTTATCTTTTTTGATTGCTGTCTAATACTCCACTGTGTAAATCTACCATATCTTGATCCGGTCATCTGTTTTCGGGCATTTGGGTTGTTTCCACAGCTCACCTATTATAAATAGTGCTGCAATAAACATAGGGGTGCAGATGTCCTTTTGAATTAAGATTTTTGCATCCTTTGGGTAGATAGCCAGGAGTGGAATTGCTGGATTATATGGGAGTCCAGTTTTAGCAATTTGAAGAACCTGCACACAGCTTTCCACAGCTTTCCACTATTTTAATTGACCTCCCTGCTTTCACTCCCTGGAGGACATGCCATCTTTCCTCTTGAGAAAGGCTAAACATCTGTGTCTTTGTATCTTCTCTTCTCCAACTTTATCTTATCCCTTTCCTTCAGGTTTGCATGGACACACACATACACACACAATACACACACCATAATTAATCTCTTCTAGTTCTTCTTCAGAAAGACACTTTCAGGTACCCCAGATTTAAAAAGCCAACTGCCTTAATCTGTAGCTTTCGTTCTTGGGATAGCAGAACTTTTGGATAACCTCTACTAGCTCTTCCCCCTTCCTCACCTCATGCTAATAGATATAAACCCCAATAACGTGCTAGAGTCATGCATCGCCCAATGTTTCAGCCCACCATGCTCCGCATATGTGACTCGTCCCAGGGACAGCCCAGGTGTGTGGGGCGGTACCATGAACGTCTGTGGCCGTGTCCACACAACAGTCGTCTAGCAAGGGGTGACTTAGAATGTGTGCCTGCCTGTCACTCAGTGACAGATGATTGTCATGTCTGGTCATTCATTTACCATGTATTTGAATGTTCCCTACATGCACCTGCACGTATAATTTCGATTTATTGCAGCTTATTGATATCAGGCCTGTGTGATGATACAGAATGTTTCCTTTTTGCTTCAGATGGCAAGACTGTTCTACCACAAGCCGCAGTTTGCCATTCTGGACGAGTGCACGAGCGCAGTGAGCGTGGACGTGGAAGGCTACATCTACAGCCACTGTCGCAAGGTGAGGACGGCTGGGCCTCCCGGGAGGGCTCCTGTCCCCACCCCGTTCGCTGTGCCCAACCGAATACCTGTGCAGCAAGCAGTTCAGGTCACTACTCGGGGTGATTCGTGTTTGATAAAGATTTTGAGTTGATAACTAATAGACATTAAGTAGAGGAAAAAGAATTATAAGTCAACTCAGTGTTCATTTATATCCATAGTTAATAAGCAGATATTTTCTTAACTTGTTTCATAACTTTATCTAAATATTTTTAAAAAATCAACAGTGATCATTTAGTAATGTTTAATTTGTTCATCTGGTTTTTGGCCTGGGTAATATTTCTTTTTTTTTTTTTTAACCAAAATGTCTTTTAACAAAAGCCTGCTCTAGGGATAATTGTTTCCATTCCAGAGTAATTAATCATTGATCTCAGCTTGTTTTTCCTGTGAGACATTGTTTTCATGTATGTTTTTGACGGGGTTTTAAGAATAAAAAGAACACACCCTGTTTGTATTTGGGAATTTACACTAAATCTGAAAGGTATTCATGATCTAAATCCCAGGAAGCTTTTAAAATCAAAAGATTTTTACTGTTTCTTAGCAAACACATTGGGTAAGCAGACTCAGTGAAATTATGAAAAGTACTTAGGTTCTTGTCTCACTTATGTCATTGTGCATCATTCCTAAGTGTTGCTGCAAGCACATTCCAAAACAGGGTTAGCAGTGAAGGACTGTGACCCTGTATTGGGAAAGCAAGCTGACACATGGTGCTGTATTGATTGAGTTTTCTGATTTTAACCTTTTGCTAACCTGATTTTCACACAGAAAACATGCTAGGATTTCAGCCCTCCCCCAAATAATACACTCAATGCCAGTACTTTTAGTTTAGTTTTATTTTTTTCTTTAAGGCTTTATTTCTAAATTTTGCTTTCTGCAAAAAGCATGGGGTGGACGGCCCATGCTTTGCATTGCTTGGGAACAGTTGGCGTCAGTTACAATTTTTTCTCACTGATACTGATTTTTTTTAACTATACTGATTGAAGCGTCATTGTAGTGACTTACAGTACTTAGCCTCGTGTTAACTCATGACTCGTGTTATTGATGTAAACCTTATTGCTTTCCCGGCATAGGTTGGGATCACCCTCTTCACGGTGTCACATAGAAAATCTCTCTGGAAGCACCATGAGGTTTGTATTTCTGGTGGTACAGTGAAGGTTTATTTTATGTAAATATGTGAATCAGGTGATTATTGTTTTAATTTTCTGCTGTATATATCCAAATAAACATGTGTCTTACAGAGAAAGGTGACTCTAATTTGGTTTTATAAAATAAGACTTTCATATATATTGTTACAGTCATCAATTTTGATAACTACAATATATACCAAAAATTCCCAATTGCATATGCTCTCAGAGAACTAGTTAGTAGATCTCCAGTTTATAAATGACTGTTTGCATAATTTATAGTTGTATAATCTTGTCATAACTATGACTAAGTGAGCTTTTTCTTACCATCCAGTATCGACAGAAAAGCAAGAGTCTTAAGAAGGATTCGTGTCAAAACACTAAGGCACATTTTGGCAGCAATCAGGATGGCTAGGCGAGGTTGGCTAATGTCAGCTGTGTTTCTCACCTCGCTGTCCTGAAGTAGACTTCACCTGGCTCACTACTGTAACCACACCGCAGCAGTGAGGTCTGTGTGCCCTGGGGCAGGTGTCTTACTTATTCTGGCGCCCCAGCACTGCCCACCCCAGGACGGAAGTTCCTTTGAACTCTTAATATACAGTGCTCGCACCCTTAAAATAAACAGTCTACCTCGATTATTTTTCTTTCCCTTTTCCTTGCCTCTTTATCCTTCGTAGTGGATAAGAAATTTTTAGGTAAAAGGAGGGGCTTAAGAAAAATTGGAACCTGGAATTGGGTGGATATTTTGTCCCATAAAACACACACCTGAGTGAGCACCTTTTTAGTCACACGCATCACTCAGAGCAAGATGGGGTGCTGGCTGTCCACTTCCAGAACTTTTTGTGCAAATGAGAGCGTACAAAGGAGAAATTGAAGAGCACTGGACTTAAGTTTAAGACCCTGGGGCAGGTGGCACTGTCTGGGTGTTTCCTTCAGATGACTAAGTGGCTGACCCTCCCCTGCCTGTCTCACAGACTCTGCTGAGTACCAAAGAGGAAACCCAATGAGAGGACTTGGTAAAGTGTGATGAGATGCTGTATACCTATGTGACTTTTACAAATAGTTTTTTTTTTTTAAATATATAGCACATTGTAAACTGTCCCCCCCCCTTTTTTTTTTTTAACAAATTGAATAATTAGAAGTTAAAGCAGTGTGTTCTCAGACTCCCAGATACATCACAGCCATAGAACAGTGAGAGCCCCAGGCTTCCCTCCTCTTCCGGAGGTGTATACCAGCATCAGAAGCAGCCCTCAGACCAGTGAGCGTGTGAAGGAGAGGTGACACGGAGGCCAGAGTGCCCACAAAATACCTGCAGAAAATGGAAAAACAGGAAGTCTCTTCCGTTTAAAAACAAATAAGTAAAGACACTTTTGCAACTGTTCTCCAAAGTGCCCATCTAGGTTGGTCTTGATACCCGGTCACTCTTCCTTCTTGGCTAAATCCCAACGCAAAAAGCCATAGTAACTTAGAGGCTGTGAGCTGGTCTGGGACAGAGCTAACTGCGTAACTAAAGGCTGCCCAGGTGGACAGCTGGGACTCGCACCTGGTGTGGCAGGTACAGCCTTCCTCATCGAGTTACATGAGTGTTCTCATTTGGGAGGTGCTCAGAGCTTTGGTTCTTTTGAAGTAACGAATGATTCTGGTATTCACTCTCATCAGGGGGAATACCGATGTCAGTTCCAACGAGTTACCTGTTTCTGGTTTTAGAAAGAGCAGGCCTTGCTTAACGCTCAGGCTCGGTATCCATAGATGGAGCAGTTCCACAGCTTCGTTTTGTTCGATGTTACTGGATGAGAAAATCCTGTCCTGCTTTGAGTGAAATGACATTATTCAAGAATCTGATTTGTCACACGTTGTTGCCTGGGAAGCTGGAGTTTCCAAGGACCTATCGCATGTTATGTGAGGACTTGCTGTATAGACTTGTGAAAGTTTTAGTGGCTTAAGATAATCATCTCCAATCATTTTCTGGTATCGTAATTTACATAAACCTCAAATACAAGGAACATGCTTACTGATATTTTCCCTTTCTTTTCCACAGTACTACCTGCATATGGATGGCAGAGGCAATTATGAATTCAAACAGATAACAGAAGACACAGTTGAATTTGGCTCTTAAGAGAACCGGAGAATTATACCTATGGGCTTCAATGAAATAATTACAGAAAACACTTAGAAATTACAGCATACATTGTAAAATAAAGTTGAGCTTGGTTTTTTTTTTTTAAACAAAGCAACAAATTAACCAGATATAAAATAATTGAGAACACGTTGTTTAAAACATTTAATATTATATAGGATATTGCTAATTGTGTATATGTTGGTTTAATTATTAATATGTACTAAGAATGTCCTTATTCTTGTGGTTAAAAACCTGCCTAAATTAAATTGGGCTTAAATCAGTGTAACCTAATTCATCCTGGGATGTAAACCATTTGAAGTCAGCTAATTTGACTTTTATGGCTCTCTTTTCCTTCAATGAAGAACCCTATTTAAATCTGGGGTCATCACTTGTCCTGTTCTCACAAGATAGTCTGAGTTTCATTTTCTCATCCCTCATGATTGTGGGAAACAAACAAATCATAGGGTATTACAGAACTAGAATCCATCACTGCATAGCAGTCGTGCTTACTCCACAGTGGCAGGTTCCTTGACCTGCCAAAATCATCTCCTTGTCCGTGTCCTGGGGTACATTTGACTCCAGGAAAAGCCATTTGGATTTTCGTAGGCTAAGTAATGAACGTGCCCCTCTTAATTTTTGCAGTATTGAGCTGTTTTGGGGGGGTTCTCCGTATTGGGGTAATACAGGTACATTTGCAGTCCTGCTTACCAGAAGGGTGGTTACGGCGTTTCACACCGAGTCTTCCTGATGTTTGGGATATTAAAACACAAAGTCACATGCCAAGCTCAAGGTCTAACAGGATTTTTAATATTTTTAAAAGAATTGGACGGATTTGTGTCCGCTGGAAGCCCTCTCATTACATGTGTGGTTACGTGGTGGTCAACTCCAGACGAGCCGCAGGAATGCACTACATGAAGAAATGCACTGAGTATGCAGCGTCATCTCTGTCTTGGACTGCGATTTTATGTTGAAGGCCACCTTTTGAAATTATTCTCACAAGTGAATTATGTTTCCTAGGCACTGGTTTATCTCTGAATCTTTAATAACTTTTTTATATTTGGGTTATTATGTTCAAAATGCTAAGATAAATCTGTTTCACCTTACCAAGCCACTGTTAATGACTACATGTGTTATTTGCACAGGGAGAACTGAAACTGAATATATCAATAAGCTAGATATGAAATCAGTTTTTATCAAACCTAAGGTTCAGAAAGGGGCATTTTATATTCTTGTTTCTGCATAAATGGTCTTTTTTTTTTTTTTTTTGCGGAACTAACTTTAAAAATCACTGGCTACCGAAGTAAAACTTGATGTACTGATTCCATAATGCATAACATTGAATTTTTACAAACACTTCTCTTTAGCAAACTTGTATACTTAACCTATTTTCTGTTCAGATTAAAAAAAAAATCAGATATCCTATACAACCTTTGCTTGTTTTTATTCTAGTATCTGAATACTGCTAGTTAATTTAGGTTTGATGTGAAAAATTAAAAGTACCAGCAATTTTTTAGTTCCTAACTTCTCTTTTTAAGAACTATTGTATCAAATGTGGTTTTTAACTGAATGCTTTTTTTTTTTTTAAGAAAAGTCAGATAAAACCTCACAAATCCCACCAAATAGCCAGGAAACCTGAGAAATTTTCAGTACTGAGAAAGGTTTTAAAATGTGGGGGGAAGTTTGAGAGTTTTAGATTTCTAAGTTACCCTAAACTTCCTACTTGAAAAAAAGCTCCTAAGTGACTCCTAATTCCTTCTGTAATACATCAGAAAAATATTTTTTCCTTCCTTTAAGGTTTAACAAACATTAAAATGCCTCACCCTAAGGTGGGGAGGTGGGTCCTCCTGGAGGCTGCTTACAGCAGTGAAATTGTTTCCAAGACATGATTGGCCACGGAACGTCTTTCCACATAATTCCTATTGGTGTCTTCCATGGCCTGCACTGGGAAAGGGCAGTGAGATCTGAGAAATTTAAAGAGCAAGAACTTCTGTCCACAAGCAACATACTGCCCAGCAAGCATGTTGATGTGTTCTAGTTTGTCTAGGCTCTGTTGCTGGGTCAGGCTTCCTCTTAAGCGATCCTGTCCAGTTGCATCCAGATAAAGGCTGCATTGCTGCTTATTCTGACTCTTTTCTGTTTGATCAAATGTATTCCTGAATTCAGCACAAGAAGTTACAAAGGTTTGGAGGTGCAGAAGAGGGGCTGTAGACCTCTCCTCTACACCAGAATGTTCAGCATGTCTTCTCTCTTATTCTCATTGAAATATCCTTGTATCTGATTCTCTAAAGAGCTTGGTGAAGGCAAATTTAACTTCTCACTTCTCTGTTTCTAGGGTAGAGCTTCCTTTTCCATGTACAAAAAGTCTTGGCATTTCTCTGTCCATTATTTATTGAAAAAACTAGTCCATTATTTTCTCCTTTTCTCTTTATGATTGAAACCTTTAAGGTTAACTTGGTGTTGTATAACTGGTATCTAAGGAACAAGAGAGAAAAAAATATATTTCATCTTTAATTGGAAGTCCACAAAGACTTTGATGTCTCTCATGTTTTTCCCCAAAAGATTACTTTTGTTACCACCATATCACTATGATGCCTCAATGAAAAAAGTATGACATACAAGCTAAAAAAAGATTGCTTGTTTGAGCAGTATTTAAAATAATAAAACTCTGAAAAATTGGGTCATGATTCTGGGAGGTTCTTTAGAGCATCTGGTAATGCTCTTGAGCATCTAGTGACTTTTATTGTCCTTGGACTTCTGTTGATTGAGGTAAAGCTCTTTTCTGTCAGTTATTAGAAGATTAGATACTAATCATCATGGTTCTGCTTTATAAAAACTAAATCATCCTAAATTTAAAGTATGTTTTAAAAAGTTGTCTTTTAAAAACATGTACTTTAAAGATTATTGGTGCAACTACTTAGCCAAAGTCAAATGACTGGCTGAGGTTCTTGGGGCAAAACAAAACTCCAAACTTTGCCAAGCACGGTTTGCTTTTTGATACTGTTAGGGATGCGAGCATTCCCTCTCACTAGGTACCTGTTATACTTTTTCCTCTCCCTCCCCTCTTTGCCTGTTAATTCTTTGACTTCTGCAGATAATCCTCCTAAATTCAACCTAGGTGACCCCACATAAGTTCCCTAAAACACCCTATACTTTTCCTACCATAAAATTTAAGTTCTATTATAGTTTGACATTTTGCCCTACAAATACCTGAGTGCCAATACAGATTAAACCTGTGATATTTTAATCAATATGTAAAAAGTCTGGCACAAAGCAGGTTACTAGTATTAGAATAAATTTTTTAACAAATGAGTGAATTCAAATGCATGAGCATGGTCCTTGTCAAGGAAATTGCAATCCAGAAAAGGGGCAGTGACAAAAACTTTTGTGTAAAATCAAGTCATAAAGTTGTTAGAATGTGGTGAGGAGGTAGGGAGAAATCCCTGGGAATCTAGATCCAGGAAGGGTGCATAGGGAGAAATAGGGTATATGTATGGCTAGAATTGAGCTAGGAAAGCTTTGTACTTGAGAAAGTTACGGATTAAGGCAGAGGCCCTCAAAATACTGCCTTTGGGAATGTGTAATATTGGCAATATGAGCATGACTACTTTGGGCTGGGAACAGTAGTTTGTGGATACTTAACAATAGATGGAATCATCTCAGCTGCTGACCTGTCTCCCCTCCTCACTCTTCCCTACCCCGTGAAATCAAGCACAGCGAGTCAACAGGTTAGAGCAGAATTGCTTAGACAGGTGTGTGTGCAGATTGCCTGGAGAATAGAGATTCTGAATCTTTAGGCCTGGGGTCGGGTCCAAGAATTTCCATTTTTTAGTTAGCTCTTAAATAATGCTAAAATTGCTATTCCTAAACCTCAACTGCCACCTACAGAGATCGTTACAGCAACTTGGGGAAAGTTCTCTGCTTCAAATTCTGTCCACCTCTTTCCTTCGTTGTTAATCATTTACAGGTGTTTGGGTTTATGTTAAGGATTTTTTACTTTCATAATCCAGTCTGTGACCATTGGGGTCAAACGCCGACCCTCATGTAGACCAGTAGGTGGCGCCACAATCTTAGCCACAAGGCTGCTTCCAGTCCCAAAAGCAGCTACCCCAGCGAGAGGCGTTTTCCTGTTCTCTCTGTTAATTTGTTAATCTCTGGCGTGATAATATGTCCAGAGGAAAGAGACTACTTTGCTGATGGAGCATCGTTTTTTGGTAGTTATCTGATAATCCGTTTAAAGAGTGACATGTTAACTACCTGGAAACTTTCTCAAAACCTTATTTTAAATGTATTAAATAAACATTGTGTATTCAAGACGAATTACAACTTGTCAGTAAAAACTCCTGGATTTTTTAAAAAGCATTTTTGAAAGAGTGATATGTTTATTGCTAATCATTAGTGTTCTAACAACATAGAATCATAGAAGCAGAGGCTTCTATGGTTAGGCTAGAGAGGGATGGGGAGCTTTAGAACAATTAGTGCACTTGATAGATTCCCCAGGTTTGCTAAGTTCTCTTGAGTAACCTTCTCGAAGAGTGGTCCCCCGCACCCCCACAACAGCAGCACTAGCATCATCTGTTTCTTGCAACAAGAAAATCCTACCAGACTCAGGGGTGAGAGCCTCCCAGGGAGTGCAGTCTCCACTGGGGATCTTGTTCATGATTTGTGTGTTCCTAGCTTGAGCTTGGCTTCCAGATGGCTGATTCTGGTCTCTCTGCAGACTAAGCATGCTGCATTTGCGTCTGCAGCGATTTCCAGCATCTCCTTGTGATGTAAGGGCTCGACCCCAAGGATCTCAGAATTTATGGGGGAATCAGAGTCACTTGAAAGACTTCTTGTTAAAGTACAGATGGATAATCCAGTAAACCTGCAGTGGTGGTTAGCCACGTGCCTTCCTAACAAGCTCTCAGGTGATGCCAAGGCTGCTGCTCTGGGGGCCACTTTGAGAAGTACTAGGCGAAGCTAACGTTGGAACAGTAGTGGTTTGGAAGTGTTCAGGATCATGAAAAATAGTTCTCAGGGAATCTGTGGGTATGAGCTGACACTTTCCCAACTTCTAGAGCAGATCACTCAGTTCCTTGTGGGCAACTCCACGCAGCGGTGCCTCCCTCTCTGTTTTGCCCCCTCACCCCCACCCACATCTTTGTTTCCTCTACTCACAAGGGCTGAGGATAAGAAGCTATCAGCAGCCACTGCTGCACGAGTTCCATCCCTGGCCAGGGAGCTGACCCACATACGTAGTGCAGGAGACCTCCCCTGACCCGCCTGCGGCTCCCCTCAGCAGTGTGTTTTAGTAGATCTGCCTGTTCTTCCCCCCCACTGTGTATTTGGTGATTGGTCTTAACCCCCCCCAACACCTCTGGCCTGTACCCCAGTTCTTGTATGCATAAATAAGTAAATCTTTTTTAAAAATAAAAGAAAGCGACAAGATTTGGCTGTTTATAAGGGAGAAGGGCATTATAAACATGAACAAATAGAACTTAGGCTTGGAGCAGAATTAGCCGGATAAGTGGGGTGCTCAGAAAGACCCGGGGTGTGTATTAAGAATTGCAGATCAGGGCCCTCCCTGGTGGCGCAGCGGGTTAAAGCACTGCACTGAGAAGCTAAAGCCACCTCCTCATGAGTTCGATTCCCGCCTGCCGCCTGCCCCGGAGGAGACCACATGGCGAGCCAGACCTCTCCTGGCCCGCCCGCTGCTTCCCTCAGCAGTGTACTTCGTCGATCTGCCTGTTCTGCTCCCCACCCTGTCTCTGGTGAAGCCTCTCACCGCCCCTGAGCCTCTGGCCTGTACCCCAGTTCTGTATGTACAAATAAAATAAATCTTTAAAAAAAAAAAAAAAGAATTGCAGATCAGCACGTCGTCAGATTTAGGAGAGAGGAGGCACCTCTTCTGCCTTCCCACCAAACCCTCCCAGAAGCAGATGCATGAAATCCCGCCATGATGCCAAAAGTAAGCCTCGTGGGGAAACATTGTTATGATGCTTTCATGTGAGTGACTTTTCAGTCCTTTCTTTAGCGGAATGATAGAATAATACTCTTTGAAGTAGCAAAGGATGCTTTTTTTCCCTGTGTCCTTTTACCCTTGACCCTGCTCCCCATTCCTTCAGTTGCAATTCTGTGGTCATTGTCTCAGGAAGGGACATGAAAGAGAAAACTGGAGTTGTCTTTGGTCAGTACAGTCTGGCGTTCCAGAGCCTTCATGGAAAGACCAGACAACAGATTTACAAGAGGGAGAAGCTCCCGCCCCAGCCACCACCCTCCGACTAAGGAAGCATTTCCCCAGCTGCAAGGAGAGGCCAGTTGGAAGGGAAGTGAGGGAACAGAGGGCGGACACATGGCAGTGGTGGTGGCAACTTGAAACTGGGGGGGGAAAGTCGACATTCAGGGGAATCACTGAATGCTTGGATTGGTTTCTGTGCCCATGGAAAGGGAGTCTGAATTAAAAATTTAATCAACTGTTAGGAAAAATGAAGAAAGTTATTATTATTGAACACATGGGCACACCCCGGCCCTTGGGAGTAGGGACATGAAGACCGGAGATGGGGTTTGAGGGCTGCGTGTGACCAGCAGGGCAAGTGCCCAGGCGGAGGTGGGGGGCGGGGGCAGACCTGCGTGGGAGACCCTGCTCAGTGGAGTTGCCCACCGAGGAACTGAGTCATCTGCTCTAGAAGTTGGGAAAGTGTCAGCTCATATTCATCTTCCTCACAGCCTTTATGGAAAGACCAGCTATTTCCTCCTTGGGCTCCCCCAAGACTGGGGGAAAAACTCCAGAAAAATGACTTCCTCAGTATCTGGGTCACTGGTGGTCAGCAGGGTTACAGATGAAGAATAAAAAATGGGAAGCAGGGAGGCAGAAGCTGAACTGGAAACGGTTGGCCCCTGGCATCAGTCTCTCTGCACCTCCAACTTTCCAGGGGCTGCTGTTTCTCCTCTGTCCACGTCTTGTGTGGAGTCCTTTTTGAAAGGACTGCTCTGCTTTAAAGAAAATAGACTGTAGGAGACTGAAAGTGAGAACAGGAAGACCAGCCACAGGGTTGTTGCCATAAGCCAGTAGGACAGGAAAGCAGCTTGAATTGGGGGATAGGCGGAGGAGAAGGTGACCTTCAGACCAGGGACCTAATTGAAAGATGGAGCTGATAGGCTTTGCTATGGGTTGAATGTAGCCTGGGAGAGGAAGAGAGACGCCAGTGATCACACCAAGGCTCTGGGCCAGTGATGCTGGGCCAGTGATGCTGCCATTTCTTAAAAAGGGGACAAAATAGGTTTGGGGCCTGGGGGTTACAGATGCTCCTTGACCCTATTAAAATGAGGTTTCCAGGAGACATGTATGTGGAGCAGTTGTGAAAGTAGCTGGATCAATAGCTGGCCACTGTGGAATGCAGAAAGGTGGTTCAGACCTACATTGGGAGTCATGGAACATATAGAAGATATGGGTCATGAACTTGGGTGCATCACCTAGACAGTGATGACGATAGAGGTTAGGTTGGAGCACTGAGGCAATTCAACATTTAGAAGTCAGGGAGAAGAGGCTGGTGTCCAAGGAGCAGAGACTGAGGAAATCTGGAAGAGGAGTTCTATGAGGTCAAAGGAAGATTTTTCTTTTAAGGCAGAAAATTTTTTTTTTAATGTATAACTGTTTTTTTTTATTGCAATATTACTCAGGATAGAAAGATTCTTTTAAGAAAACAATGTCGGAAACAACTGAATACATACGCTAAATAATACATACTTTACATCACATCTAACCTTGAACTCAGACCTAAATATAAAACTTAATCTATGAAACTTCAAGCCGAAAATGTTTTCACACTTGTAATTTATATATTCTGCTTCATCAAGATATGAATAATGTATAACATTGTGAAGATTAAAAGTATTAAATGTGGTAATCTAATTTTATGTAAAGTGAAATAATGTTCAAACTTACCACTTTAATTTTAATCTCTCAAATTTGCTAAGATTTGTTTTGTGATCTAATATATGTTCTCTCCTAGAGAATGTTTGTTATTATTGGATGGACTGTTCTCTAAATGTTTAAGTCAAATTGATCTACAGTGTTGTTAAATCCATTGTTTCCTTACTGATTTCTTAAGACAGAAAAGTCTTAAACTATGTAACAATATTTTGAATAGGAATGATTGAATAGAAAGGGAGACCTCAAAAGTGCTGCAAAGGGGTAATTTTTGGGCTCTGTCACCCAGTGGTTTAGAGGGCATGGAAATAGAATGTTATTTTGCATTACAAGGCTTTTTGTGTTAAAAGCTTAAATTATAAGCTTTGTCCTCTCTTTATACTCCATGGTCAAAGCTTATTCAGCATCAGTTATGGTAATTTAACTGGAATAAAAAAAACTCAGTCAAGCTTGGGTAAATAATCAGCTTATTTTCAGTGGAAAGACCTTGGGTAAGGATAACTCCAGGCAAGGCTTGAGCCAGCAGCTGGACAATGTCACAAAACACTTAGGTCTTTCCATCACTCTGTACTGGCCTCCAATATGTCAGCTGCAGGTGAATCTCGCTCCCTTTGTGATCTCTAGATAATTACCAGCAACTCTTGGGGCTACATATATTTCTTGGTTATATTATACAAGAAAGAGGCTATCCCACCATCCCCAGAAAAAACTCTGAGGTTCACCTTTCATAGACCAGAGTCCTGGTTTAGAGCAATCAATTTCTGCAGCCATAAGGACAATGTATGCTGACCACAAAGCCAGAATGATCTGATCCCAATTGAGGAGCAGGGGCTTTGGGAAAGGAAAACTAGTGTCCACCATAGGGCTGAATCAAAGTCACATAGTACAGTAATAAACCTTCTAAGGCAACCAGGGGAGAAATAACACCCATTCAATCCCGATGCCGTACAACAGGTAAATATTGTTTTGGGGAACGGGTTTACTAACTATTCAATAGGCAGAGATTATCATTCCTTTATTTAAGACCTGTACTAAGAGAAAATGTCTTTGGATTTTACAAATATTAGCTTCTTCTATGTAAGTGAAACTTAGCCCTTCAGATGATACAAACCTTTCTTCCAAGCTTGAAAGTTTAGTTTACTCACAATTATCTTCCTGGGGTGCACTGGAGTCCAGATAAATACTGAAGTATAGTCTGGCCCGGTAATATATGGATTCCAGTTAGCAATGTGGGTTTTCTGTTCCAGCACTCCTGAAGCACTGATTGAGTAGCAGCTGTTCGACCTCAGTGATCAGGAGAGCAGCAGTTCAGCACCGCAGCTTCCTGGTTACCGTGGCCCAGCCTCATTCACGTCTGTAATGAATTCCTTCCCTGTAAACAGCCAGACACCCCATTACTACCCAGACCTTTCACCCTGCCAGTTCTTTCTTCAGAGGGTGATTCAAATTCCTTAGATTAGGAGGCCTGGGAGTTATATAATGCTGTAATTATTCCTGGCAGGAAAAGTGTAGCCTGAGGGAAGGGCCCCTCAGAGGCCCTGTCTGGGGGGTGTTCTACCCCTGGTGGTATCTCTAAGCTCCTGGTCCTGGGTGGCCCTGTATGAGCAGGAATTTGAGATAGAAGATGTGGGCCAGAGCATACTTCTCTCAGGACCTGGCCCCTGCCACCCTCTCCTGTTGACTCTGCTGAAAATGCTTTGTTCTCCCCTCTTTTCTCTGGTCTAGCAGAATCCTAGAATCACACAAGACTCAGCCTCTCCCTCATGGACACAAGTGGTCATGGAAAACAGACTCACCACCCTGGCCTGTTTCCCTGAATTTCTCCAAAATGGCTATCAACGTTTTTCTCCTTCCAGTTACCAGCTTTATGGGGGGACCTGAAGGCTGGTTTTGTTTAGGTTTTTGGTGATCTCACCATCCTTTCTTAGAGTGTGATGTTTCATTTCCAAACATTTCATGTTTAGAGTTTCATGGACAATGCTTGGAGTTCTTTGGAGCAAAGGAACAATGTGGAACGAAAGCTATGGTCAGCTGGACAGTGAACTGAGTCTTTGCTCCTTTACCTGCTTGCTCAGAATCTTTTTAGGGGACTCTCCCAGGAGGATGTGACGTGGAGACACCTTTCAACAGAGAGATAGTGACAGTTCTGCTAAATGTTACCTTATTTGAGCAGCTACCTCACTCTCTGTATTACCAGAGGTCAACTCGACTCAGCCATGACTGACTCCTCTGGCACAGTCACAGTCACCTTAAAGGGGCAATAACTGGGATACACCCAGCCCTGCCTGAGGAGCGTTCTCAATTGACTTTGCCTTTCATTAAATCTAGGCCTCACTCCGTGTCTCTTTATATATTAGATTGGCTTTTTATCCAGTTGTCTTTCAAGATTCTAATTCAAAGAATTTTTCTTCCTTTCTCCTCTCCAACCTGCATTCATCTCTCAGACTAATGCCTTTCTCTCTCTCTAAGTCTGCAGAAGGTTGTGGAATTCTCTCCCCTCCCTGAAACACCTACACAGGACATACAGCCTGTGGAGCTGCCCCAAAGGTGGGATCCTGTCAGCATGGATGTGTGTCTTGCCGGGTCAGTCAGAAGGGTCAGTGTGGAGCAGACGGTTTAAGAACCAGCTTAAAGTTTGAAGACAAACATGCCTAGTGAAATAAGCCAGAGAGAAGAAAAATACCAGATGGTTTTTACTCATAGCAGGAGCATAAAGGACCAAGGGGGAAAAAATAATAATGAACGACTATATATCAGAGACATTTTATAGGGATGGAGTGGGGAATGGGATCAAAAATGGGGGGTGGGGGGGTGAAAGTATATAGGACTATGGTGATGGCACATGGGTGAATTGGTGGTGGGAAGCCCATGGGGATTATAATTGAGATGGAAAAAGGCACAAAATGATGTAAAAATAAACTATAATAATAAAAAGTTTGAAGATACTGTCCCAGTATCTTCTGCCTGGTCCCAGTAGTGTTCTGTGCTCCCCACTGTGTTCATCCAAAGGGCTTCCAGGCCTCCCTGGTGGGCTAGGGGTTAAGCCTCCGTGCTACCCCCGCTGAGGCCTGAGTTTGAGCCCTGGCCGGAGAGCTAAGCCTTTTTACAAAAAACCAAAAAGACAAAAGGTACTTCCCTTTTGGCTCCTAGAAATGAGAAGACATAAAGAAGACCTGCAGTAAACCTCCAGCCACTGAACGATAAAGTACAGGAGGAATAAAGAAAATATTGTTATAAACCATTGAGAATTTTAGGGTCATTTGTTGTAGCAGCACAGTCAACTATTATGAGGCCCAAACCATGAACAAATGGAAGATACATAAACACAATAATGGCAATTCCCAGTCACCTTTATTTATATAAAAGTATATTAAATAAATTACCTCAATATATACAAACAGAACAATATTACCTTTATAAATAGAAAATACCCATATACAAAACCTTTTTAAAAAATTATATAAATATGTACAATGTTGACCATCAAGGCTTGAAGTACCTTTGACATAAATTCTATGTAGTGTGTGTAGTAGTCATATTAAAAACATAGCAAGCTGTCAAATATCTAATCAACAGCATTTAAGTCAGTTAAAGTGCTAAACTGTAATGTATAATATGGATGTAACCAAAATAGAAGGTATCTGCATTTAGAGCATCCATATGAAAGTTTGCCTAATGTTTGATCAAAATGAAAAGAACCTAAACACCACATAATAAGGGACAGATGAGTTACAAAAGTCCACCCAATTTCCATTTTACTTCCCATAGGAGTTGATGCCAGACACCCAAATTTCTCTATCAGTCCACCCAGGATTCTTTAAGACGTCTGTTCATTTGCTTTTTGCTCCGATGACCTGGTCCCATCTTGAGCGTGGAATAGACAGTCTAAAGCATACTATGTGCGACAGGTGACATAGTGTTAACAGGAAACTCTAAAACTCAGAATCCGTTGTACCGTTTGTTACATTCTGAAATGACTAGTGCTGATGTCGAAATCAGAACACTAATGGTGAGAACAGGCCAGACCAAGAGTCTCCCGGCTCCTAGCTCCTTCTGTGTCGCCTCTTCTCTTACGAGTTCTTGGTTACAGTGCAATATAAACTTTGCAGTGGTTGGCAGTGTCTGCGGCTCTTCTCCTTATGCAACGTTGAGAGGGGAGTTCTCTTTCCCTCCCCTCTTTGCTTTCCCCGGCCTGCACTTGTACAGAGACACAGTCAGGACGATGATGAAGATGATGACCACGAATACGACGGCGCCAATGATAAAGAACATTCCTGAAAAATAAAAGGCACCAAGTCAACCAAGAGAGAGAATGTGAACCCCACTTATCAGTGGGCAGAACGCAGAGCATAACCCTACATTACACCATCCTGCTTTTGCGAAATTCAAAATTTCTTTCCTCTATGCCTTCTACCACAACACATTTAGATTAGGAAAGAATGTGTCAAACCCTGGATGTTTTAAGGCAGTTGACAGTGGCCAACAACACTCAGTGGGCCAAGGAATAAGTGGGTAATGTGCACGGTCTAGAAAAGCTGGAAATGAGAAGAGCTGGTAGAAACAAGAGGTTAAAAGTGATGCTGAGTTTGGTGACAAGAGAAAGCAGAAGTTGGACAGGGCAAGAAGAGGCCTGTGGGATGTACGAGGATTCAGGCGAGGGACCGCTGAGACCTGGCCGGGGCAAATTCAGTGGCGGAGGTGGCAAGTGCAGTGCCTCTCAGAGGATGCATTTCTGCAGACAGACAGGCAGGAAGGCAGAGGTCTGGGTGAGCGTGGAGAGAGAAGCAACGGAGTTCGAGCTAGGCGCTGGGCATATGGGTGCGAGGACTGTGACTCCGATGGCCGGGAGGGGACAGAACCAGAGGAAGCAGAGCCCTTCTGTCAGTGTCACCAACAGAGAGGATTTACGGAAATGTTCAAATGTCAAAGTCCATCTCACAAGGCGCTCGGCCAGCAGCTCTACCCTCTGACCCTCTGTTCCCTGACAGTACGCCGCACCTGTCTCCAGCCTGGAGGAGCTTCCCCACCTGGAGGAGCTTCTGGCCTCATCTATGTGTCTGAACATCTGCAACACCACCAGTGAGGACCCAGCCCTTGCTTGGGAGTGGCACCGTGTGCACACACGTGTTACACATGACACACACACTGTGTGCACACAACGGCCCACGGATACATCTGACACACTCTATTGCTTCCCTGACCATTAGACTTTATAACCTCCAAGGCAGCCTCCCCAAGTGGGTGCTCACCAAAGTCTCCTGCGTGCTGACCTAGAAACCGCTCCCAACCCCTCAGATCAGAATAGAAGGATGGAAACATGCCCAGAGAAACCTGTGGTTTAATGTTGAGTCCTGCACATGGACCGTGCACCCAGCGCTCAGCAGACAGTTTGGCAGCACAGAATAGGTGCTCAAGAAAACACTTGCTGATACCAGGGAGCAAGTGAAAACTTTTCTAAATGCATAAATTGTAAGAACACCTACAATAAGACAAAGACACAAAACTAAGGCAGTTCTTCCGGAACAAAGGAAGTGATCCGGGCTCTGAGGTGCAGCTGGCCTCTGCATGGCACCCAGGTTTCCAGATGAGGGACAGGTGTTCACTCACCTCGCGACACACCTTTGCCCTGGTTGGTGCACTCGATGGCACTCTCTGGACTCTTCTGGTTCGTCCTTCGTGATGGAATCACAGCTTGAACAAGGAAACAGTAGTCTTCTCCTTCGTCCACATCAATTAAAAACTGATTTGTGTTTGTCTTGGCTGTTTTCTGTTAAAAGATAAAGACTTGTTAATTCCTCTGGGCAGAGTGAATGATTTCGTCTTTACTAAGTCACAGTGGACATAAGAACCTACGCGGGCTCAGTAGCATTTAAAGGATAAGAAGTAACTTGGCTAATGAGCTCCTTCTGGTAACGGCTAAGGATGCTTTTCCCAAGACTGAAGATAACAGCCTAGGCACAGCCAACTCAATTTAGCCTGGGCGGGAGATGCAGTAGAGGAGAAAAATAAGGACCTACCAGCTGTTGAGTGGAAAACAATTTTTGTCTCTGGGATGCTCAGTAGAGGAAGAGATGTGGCAGCTGGCAGGTCTCCCGGCAGACCTGGTGCAGCCCCTTGGCGGGGAGCCTGTCTGGGCCCCCAAGCCACCGGAGAAGCAGCAAGCACCCTTCCCACCCAACACTCTGCCCTCCTGGCCATCCCCTTTCTGCTAGCTTTGAATTGGGGCAGAAATGGCTGTCAGATCAATTTTCAACAGATCGTAAAAGCAAATGAGAGGATGCTCACCTTTCCTGTACTCGAGGCTTTCCAGTAATAGAGTGTGTAACTTAAGTCCTGGCCAAAGACATCCCGGAGCGTTAGGAATTTGTTCTTCATCCTGACTAAGGTAAGTGCATCCTCTACAGTCACGTTCAGTTTAGTCCCAACTTGTTCAAAATTCTGAATTATTGGCTGTCCAAGCATGGCTGAAACATAGAAAATGAGCTTGGTTGGAAAGAGAATTTTACACAAAGCAGAACCCCATTGAGTTATCGTAATTAGTAACAACCTAGTCAACCCCTCCTAAAATACGTGCATAGACTCGCCCCTGGCAGTGGTCAGTCAGTGGCTCCCCAGCTGACCTGGCACCAGGGACATCCCCTAGCAGTCCTGCCTGATGGGAATGTCACTGTAAGTGTCCTTGTCATATGGGAAAAAGTTAAACAGGAGAAATTAACTTTAATAATCTATTTTATGTAGCCTATTATGTCTAAAATATCATTCTAACATGTAGTCAACCTAAAAATGCCTTAAGATCTGGGCCCTCCCTGGTGGCGCAGCAGGTTAAAGCACAGCACTAAATGGCTAAAGCCACTTCTGCATGAGTTCGATCCCCAGCCCGGAGGTGACCACGTGGCACTGCAGACTTTTGACCCATCCTCTGCTCCCTTTGGCAGTGTACTTCATCGATCTGCCTGTGCTTCTCCCCAGTGAAGCCTCTCAACTGCCCCTGTGCCTCTGGCCTGACCCCAGTTCTATATGCATAAATAAGTGAATCTTTAAAAAAAAATGCTTTGAGATCCTTTTTGAAATCCAGTGTGTCTCACATGTCTATAGCATTAGTCACCTTTCAAGTGCTTAAGGCACCTGTGGTCAGTGGTTACCGTACTAAACAATACAACTATGTACAATTCCATATGTGAAGTACAATCAGTTAGGGGTCATGGAAAAGACCAGGGAATGTCTTTGGTGCTTCAAGGAACTAGTTTTAACTGTAGTGGCTCAGTGCTCTCACGTACTATGGGGTGAAGGCCAATTAAAGCCATCCCAATCAGGCCCTCCCTGGTGGCGCAGCGGGTTAAAGCACAGCACTGAGAATCTAAAGCCACTTCCGCATGAGTTCGATTCCCGCCTGCCCTGGAGGAGACCACATGGCGTGGCAGACCTCTCCTGACCCACCCGCTGCTCCCCTCAGCAGTGTATTTCGTCGATCTGCCTGTTCTGCTCCCCACTCTGTCTCTGGTGAAGCCTCTCACTGCCCCTGGGCCTCTGGCCTGTACCCCAGTTCTGTATGTACAAATAAATAAATCTTAAAAAAAAAAAAAAGCCATCCCAATCATTTAACACAGATCAAATGCAAACAGTGTGTCTATGCGTGAGCACCTGCAAAACAAACATAGAAAATAATTTTTAACTTTTGCCCAAATTGGGCGGATCCCAAAAAACTCAACCATGGATGGAATATTAAAGTCTAAAAGGATGAGTCACATAAAGTCCTCCACAGGAGGAAGGCGGAGCACTGGCGACTCTGTGGAGTTCCTGGAGGTGCCATGGATGTGACTCACGGGACAGGAGCTAGAGGGGTCAGAGACAAGTGCTGGCAAACGGGCATAGGGACAGCAGCCAGGTTCACCCTGCCCTCATTCAGCCCTTTACATAGATACCAGAGGGGCGGTTGGCTGCGTATTCCCAGTCCTCCTCACCATCGCTGCCTCAAAAAACTTTCCTTTTATAGGAGTAAGTATCAAAACACCCATCACATAGCATTTCTATCCTAACCTGTCATTCTAGATCTTTAAAGGGCAGCTGATTTCACCTTTTTCAGTGTGCGAAGTGTGTTTACTTAAAATACCTAGTTCAGAACTACAGTTGTGACATTCCCCCCACCCCCAACCAAAAAACTTGAAATCTTCTACTTGGCAGGAATTCTCAACATTCCATAATTAGATACTAAGGTCAGCTTACTGGGGCAAAGGTTGGGGAGGAAAGCATTCCAGATTCTCAAACCAGCATGAAAGAAGGAGATGGGGAGCTGGCTTGGCAAACGCCAGCTTATCACATGACTCAAATCACAGTCAAGTGAGGAAAGGTCAGAAAGCCTTATAATGTTCTCCGAGGGATCGGCCTTTGCCCATGACTTGGGACCTTACGGGAAAAACCCTGAACTAGGTATAATTTCTGGTGTGATGACTAGAAGGAAAATTCAGGCTGTGAAGATGTCTAGGGACAGGGTGAAATCCCTTGGTGTGTTTTCTGCTCCCCAACCCCACATCCATCTGGTTATTGGTAGGACCTCTGTATAGAAACAGAAGGTTACTGTTATCAACTCCAAGTTCATGTTCTGGGACCCTCTTACATGTCTGGGATGCGTAAAGTAAATGTACGTATACCAGTTTGAGAGAGATGTGTTTATGGATAAATATGTGACCTCCTGGTCCTTAAGGGTCACAAGCTCACAAGAATATTCAGGACCTTACAACAATAAGAAGGAAAATTGTTACAAACCAAGCTACTTACTCTCCAGGTAAGGTGTGAACTGCGGGGCATTCTTAAACAAAGGCTCCCCCAAGGAAGAGGAGGCCCCTGTCTGGAGGGACAGGACCCGAGCCGAGTATGTCTGATGCACGTCTTGCACAATCTCATCGGTGAGGTCACACTCTGTTTCTGTCACAGAGAAGCATTTGCTCTTCCAGTCTCCTAATGGATGGCTACAGGAAGTGAGGTAGGAAGAGAAGGGGAAGGTCACACTGTGGTCCAACAAGATGGGTCCTTTCCACACCAGTCGCCACACCAGTCCACTCAGGCGTTTGCTACATGGAGCACTTCAGAGGCACGTGAGCCCTTACCGCACCCCAGGTGGTTCAGGAATGATTCCTGTGTAGGCCACCAAGGCAAAGTGAGACTGAGTGGCCAGCTCTGAGTTGTACCGCTGGACTTAGGACTCAACGGTAGCTTGACTGCTGTATTTCTTTAACCACTTTGTTAAATATCTTTTTTTAAAAAGTAGATGAGGGCCCTTCCTGGTGGAGCAATGGGTTAAAGCACAGCACTATGAAGTTACCGCAGCCACTGCAGCAGGAGTTTCATCCCCGGCCACGGAGCTGACCACAGGGTGCGGCACCTGACCCACCCGCTGCTCCTCTCAGCAGTGTATTTCAGTACACCCATTCTGCTCCCCACTCTGTCTCTGGTGACTCCTCTCACCCCTGCCTCTCTGGCCTGTACCCCAGTTCTGTATGCATAAATAATGAAATCTTAAAAAAGGATATATAATTTAAAATAAAAAAGCAGATGATTTATCATGGTTAATCAGGAGAAAAGGCCATCCTCCCGCAAGGCCCAATTAGTTATTACGGTCTATTAATTGCATTATATCATATTTGTTTTCTTATCACGTTCTATAGTCTATGTAGGATACAGTCACTTACCGTAGTCATAAAGTCCATATAATATACTGTATTATTTCCTATCATGACCATCAGTCATATTGTTAGATCCCTTTCATTGAATCTAATATCCTCTAGCCATGGCATGGGGCCCTTCACATGTTTATTTGATATACTCCTAGCAAGGATGTGTTGGGTTTTTTTGACACACAAGACAGAAGGTCAGAGACACTAAGTAACTTGTACAAAGTCACACTGTTAGTGACCCTTGAGTGCTGAGTCCGTTCATCAAATTATAAAACATGCCCCCCTCAATTTTATGAGATGTGTGCACACCCGTCCATCAAAGATTGCAGAATAACAGAGCAGATGGCATCTGGCTGACCATGTCTGACAGACTACAGGGCTAAAACACAAATTTTTCTTTTGTAAGATGTCACTGAGGGGGAAATGATTTCAAGAATGTCTATTAAAAATAAAATTATTCTGGGCCCCATCTGGTGGCGCAGAGGGTTAAGATGTAGCACTGCAGGCTGGTGGCAGCCGCTTCAGTGTGAGTTCGATCCCCCACCCCGAAGGTGACCCACATGGTGCGGCAGACCTCTCCTGACCCACCCGCTGCTCCCCTCAGCAGTGTACTTAGTCCATCTGCCTGTTCTGCTCCCCACTCTGTTTCTGCTGAATCCTCTCAGCCCCTGCACCTCTGGCTTGTACCCCAGTTCTGTATGAATACATAAATATTTTTAAAAATTATTCTAAAAACCTGAACAGCCCATAGATAAATGTCAGTGCAACTTTAGCCACATTCTTCTGTCCCATGTGAAGTGACAGCCACTACCACTTGTCCGGGAGCACAGGTTGAGATGCATTCTCCAAGAAAGGAAAATCAGGAGTGGGGAGGTCACAGTGGGAATGTTTTTCCTTCCTCCTCCAGGCTGTGGGCTCTCAGAGAGTGGCAGGCCCACCTGAGAGGGTGACGCTGTGGGTTACTGGAGAGACCTCGGTCCGGACTGGGCTGATCATCAGTGCAGCTATGCATAAAGCCACGTCCTCCCCTGGGTAAGTTTCCTCTTCTGTAAAATGCCAGGTGTGGTCCTTTCTACCCAAGAACCCCGTTAACCCAGGAAGAGAAAGGAGAGGGAGGAGAGGAGTGCAAGTCTCCAGCGGGGGCGGGAGGGGGTGCTGTGCACAGGTGTGCCAGTGCACAGGTGTGCCAGTACATTGGGGAGGGTGTGCAGGGGCTGTTCACTCAGCAGGATCACACCCCGCCCCTACAGGTCCCGAAGTGGCAGCTCACTCTAAGGCGTTAGCATATCTGGGGCCCTCCTTCAACTCAGCAGCCTTGGAAAACCCAGAAACTTAAGAGTTACAAAGGATTGTATTTAAAAATCAGGTAAATCATAAATAGGTTTCCACATGCTCACCCCAAGTATGACTGGATATATTTAGGAAAGCATTTCTCCTATAATCTTATTTTCAACTATCCAGAAAGGATGTGTTTATGAAGGTCAACTTCAGCACTGACTGACCATATCGCATGAATGAATGATTGGCAATGACAAGTTTTTTCCAAAATCACAATTAGTACCTTGGTTTATGAAATTCCTTTCTCTCCCTCTTTCCCTATCGGCGCAAGTATGCATGCACAAGAAGTCGCTCCCCTGTTGGCCTGGCAACGGTTATCATGAGGTTCATTTTTAAAAACAGGAATGTCTACCTTAAAGACATACTCCATCCATGGGCAGCTGCACGCCTTAATCCTATGAAGCATTTGCCCAAAGCTAAAACAAACACCATTAACTTTAGTCAGTAATACGTTGTTGCCTTCATGCAATTAATGTTTAAATAATAGCCACAGCAGTGCCTTATTTAGTAAGATTGCTACCAAGCCTCTGGGAACATTTCAGAAACCAAACACTTGATGGTGAAAACCATCAAGACACACACAGGATACTCAGAGTGAACAGGCCGAATGACAGGCTGGTGAAGAACAGCATCCCTACCACCAAGGCTGCAGACTCAGGAGGATTTCTTCCTGGCTACTGAGTCATGGATTTGATTTCCTCTGGTTATGCACGTAACTAAACTTTGAATCACGGAGTCTAAATGTAGTGAATCAAAAACCGGTGAAGGGCAATGTATATAGCCGAACTCCTCCCCACCTCCCTCCTCACATGTTTCCACTCGGCTCAACAAGCCAGACAGTAGGAAAGGAAAAGTTGGGTGTGCTTAGGTGAAATTATCATCCAGCCAGCCAGCCCACAGCCATCAGAGCCGCCAGGGCCTGCTCAGAAAGGTTCATTCTTAGCAACTTATATTCCACTTTTCAAATTTCCCATCACCTCCATAAATAATTAAAACATTTTTATCAGCGTAAGGCCTGGAAAGGCTGCAGCCTTGACAGAACCTGGCTGTGCCAGCAAATTACCATCATTGCCTTCTCTGTCATCTGTTACCCATGAATAGCTTTAAAGACCTCTATCATCAACACAGGAAAAGCAGAAACTCCAAAACCCCTAATTTTCTTTCTCCTGTTCTTTCTATGTTGCTTACCTTATCTGAACAGTGTAGACATGATTGACAGGCTTGGGTTCCCACTCCAAAATTGTCTTGAAATTAACTGATTTCCAAGTTAAATTATATGCTACCGCTATGTCTTCAGCGCCTTTAAACAACAGAAAAACGGCTGTTAGTACATGAAATGCTCAGTGTGTGATTTCATAATCATGATTATGGTCTGCTGTCACCATAGATCTCATATTTATTTTGTGTCCAATCACAAAAGCTTATTACTAAACTATTCAGACCTCATGACTAAGTCTACCTTGCAGTTGCAGGAGACAGACAAGGATTTGGAGGCCCTTATTTGAAATTGTCCATGGGGGAGCCCTGGGATACCTCCCCCTGGGAGTTCAGCTCAGGAACCATCCCGGAGGTGCAAGCTAGTCTGGCTCAGAAGTAGATACAGAATACTAGGGGAAAGGGCAAATCCCACAGGGGTGAGAAGAGGTAGGGCTGCGCACAGTGAAAAAGCCACATCTTGACTTTTTCCATTTTCAGACAGAAGCTACTGCAGTCACTCAGGCGGCCATGGGGCCGTCACCCCTACCTTCCCATTAGATTCCGGTGCTGCATTATTAAGGTCTGCTTTGCTACACTCAGGTCAGTCTGCCCAGTCCCACACACCTAACAGGCAATGGGGCACCCACAATGGGGTGCCTGCTCCTATCCAGGGAACCGTTTTCCAACAGGCTTGCCTCTAACCCCATGGAAAACAAAGACCATGAGGAAGAGACGGAGATCTGCCCTCTATCAAGGAAAGGACACAGTGAAGGGTAAGAGCCAAACCGTTGCACACTGACCTATGTGGATGCCAACTCAGGCTCCACCACCTTCAAGGCCGCAGTGGGCACACTTGTAAGCTCTTTCCTTAAACTTAAGGCTGGAACCGAAATTCCACTTATGCAAGTACAATGGATGCCCCAAGCAAGCATCTCTAGATCCCTACCCTCCTCTTCTGTCTGAACACCCTGGGGATGGGCTTCATTCAGAAGCGGAAGCAGGGGCCATCTCTGCGCTGCGGCAGGGTGAGCCCACTTCCAGCCAGGACAGTCCCCGCCTTCTCCGGACAGCGCGCTCCAGGCCTTTGCAGGGCGGGTGCCACTCACCTGCGGCGCCGGGGACCTGGACCAGAGCCCAGCAGAGCAGAAGCCTCCGAGCGACCTCGAGGCAGGGAACCCGGGTCCCGGTGGGGGTCGCCATGTCCTTGAGCCGGAGGTAAGGTCAGAAAGATTGCGGTGCGCCCTAGAAGCTGGGGAGATTGGGCTAGAGGCGTCCTAGGGAGCTTAGAGGGAGCGGGAAAGGGCGCGGGAAACCCAAGTCTGCGGGAGCCGGTGTCCCGCGCCTATATAAACGCCCAAGACGCCCGCGCCTCTTGCCGGTCCCGGCTCCCGCCCCCGGCTGCCCGCCTCCACTCTGTCACTCCGGGGGTGGTGGGCGGCCCCGGGCTAATCCACACCCTTGCCCCGCCTCCTTTCCTTAGGAAACTCCAAGACCCTGCAAGGGGTGATTCACTCGTGATTCAACTGCGCCGCCCAGTGCGCAGCTGAGAATGGGCCTCTGGCGACACCAGGTGCTGAGCGGAACCCGGCCCCCCTGACCCCAAAGCCCCGGGGCCACCGAGGGCCACCCCGACGTGCAGCCTGAGTGGGCAGCAGGTCTGTGGCGTCGCAAGACGGGGCGAGTTGGAAGGAACTTGGAGGTGGGGGCCGGGAGACAGACGTCCCTTCCCCGGGGTTATAACGGTGCTGTCCTGGCGGGCGAGCATGGCCAGATCGACCGAGTTTAATAGAAAGTGCCGGTTCCGGCCGCGGGGCATTTTCTCGGAGCTTTGCCTACCTGAGGCTGAGCCTCCAAATCCGCAGCCAAATAAGGGTATCACGGACAGGACCGTATTTCCCGGCAGTGGGGTCCAGCTCCTCTTCTCTGGGACCTTTAGCGCGGGTCGCGCTCAGTGGTGGCGTTGCGATGCAGGTGTCTGCTGTGATACGCACTGCCCACGGGCTGAAGTTCAGGTAGCCCAGCGCAAGCCTGAGCCATTCGGAGTAGTGACCGAGGCAGCGGACCAAACCTGGCCGTTTGCCTCTGGGAGAATCCCAGCCAGATATCTGCAGCTCTGTCATTCCAGAAATGTTTGTTCTCACGTTAGGCAGACAGCTGTGGGATGTTCCGCCAAATGTAGAGGAACCAAAAAATGAAATTAAAAAACATAATCAGATTTTCTTGCTGTTCGTTTTACACTTTTTTTGTTTGTTTTCCGGATTATTTTTCTGGCTTCCTCTTCTGGACTCTGCTGTAAAATTGTCCAGAAAGAGAATGTTGATTCTGTTACTGTTGTGAGAAGTCTTGTCAAACTATTTCCATTCATTTATTACTCTGTAGTTGCTCAACTCAGAATGAAGAGTTTTAGAGGGACAGTGGTGTTTGCTTTCTCCCAACTTTACCTCCCCCCATTCCATCCACCCAAATCAGCCTCATATTATAGTGCATGCTATGGTGACAGTTTCAGATGGCTACGGAGCCACAGAATTACACTCATTTCAAAAGAAAATTTTGCAATTTTTTTGCTTTCTCCTTTTGCCTGAACTGAAATAAAAAGCACATCCAGGTTTAGCATTCTTGTAGCCCTTCCTTCCTGGAGGCTGAAATCTGTTGTTGGTTTCCCCTTCAAGTTCTCTCCCAACTTTAAAACCTGCAAAGTTTGTCGTATTTGCAAAACGGAGTCATGCAATCCTTTTTGCAGTCTTTGACCTGAGTCATTTTCCCGAACAGATAATCTTTAGCCTCACCTGTAATGTGATTCTTTGTGCTCTGGGATTAAAGAGAGGAGAAAACGTGACACTTCAATGAAGAAATTACTGAGTCTTCTACAGAGTAAGTTATTCTATTTGGAGCCACTGCTGAACCTGAAGTCATTAAGGGCTTTGCGTAATGTCAAAAACCAACAATTTGATAAGAAAAATATGTTTAACATTCGATTGTGACACAATAGGTGTCTTAAAGGTTGATAAATTTGCATGACTATTTATTTTGTATGCCCACTACAGTTGTTAGGTGCTGCATAGGTTTTTGAGTAAGTATGGAATGAACTTCTTCAAGGTCTGAAAAATGCTAGAAACTATGACCATCTTCAAGAAGACTGGCAAAATTTCACAGCAATTTTTCTCTCTATCTGATCAGACTGTCTCCAGATGGTTTCTAGATCAATAGCTGCTCAGCATCTTTAAAAGTACATTCCTAGAATTTCACTGTTGATATTTTTTCACAGTCCAAATAGAATGATTATTAAAATTATTCATTAACTTCTGCATCTTTAAAATGCCCTTCAGTAAAGTTGACCATAATAAGTATCACAGTTCCCTCCTATATGATACTGCTTGGAGACTCTGAGCAGGTCGAACGGTCCTAAACTACCATGATGATCAGATTGGCCTGACTCAAGGTCCCTTTTTGATGATCTCTAGAATGTCAGAGGGATGAAGGGGAACTCTTCAGACACCTTTTTACAGATTCGGATCCTGAGGTGAACTGACCTGAGTGTGTAAACTTTTCTGACTCCAGGAGTTTTTTTTCCCCATGACCATGCTTCCGTCTACTCTTAGTATTGGAAGTAAGATGGAAACATGTAGAAGGGGTTGCACTGACTGCATAATCAGTGATGAAATGTGGTTGGTGAGGAGCCTCAGTGTTGCAGTCCTTCCTCTGCACTTCCTGGCTCTCCTTGTTAATTTCACCAACCCACTCCACCAACTACTTCACTTGATTTCAACTGAATTTTTATCATTTGTCTTCTCACTAGAGCTCCTTGGAGGTATAGGGGCTAAGTTTGTTCTTTACATCTCTCAACTCTTTAAACAATTACCGGCACATAGTAAATTCTTGATGTGTTTTGATTAATGAATATTTTGTGAAACTATGAAAATATTTGCATCTGAGAAAAATGAAATTTGTCATCGAAATTTTTCTAAGGTCAGGGAAGTGTTCATAATATACAGATTGGTAAGAAAATGCCAATCCGGTCCTCCCTGGTGGCGCAGCAGGTTAAAGCACAGCACTAAGAAGCTTAAGCCACTTTCGCATGAGTTCGATTCCCGCCTGCCCCAGAGGAGATCCACATGGTGTGGCAGACCTCTCCTGACCCGCCCGCTGCTCCCCTCAGCAGTGTACTTCGTTGATCTGCCTGTTCTGCTCCCCGTTCTGTCTCTGGTGAATCCCCTCACCCTCCTCGTCTCTGGCCTGTACCCCAATTCTATATGAATAAATAAATAAATCTTTTTAAAAAAGAAAAGAAAAGAAAATGCCAATCCACTGTGGGTTACCAGGTAATGCTTGATAGTTATCTCCAGCTGTCCTAACTAATGATGAATGGTCCTTGTTACAGCCAGAAAATCTAAACAAGATGACAGGGAGCTGAAGAGAAGAAAACAAATGCAGAAGCTTGAGATCTGGCTGGCATTTTTTAAAAAGACTGGATTCTAGGATGATTCAGAATAGTTCCAGTCATATGATGAGCCTTTTGGTAGATTTCTTGCACAGACAGGATTAATGAGTTCAAAATGAATTTGCATGTATCTCCCCAGGGAAGGAATAGGCTAAGCTTTATGATGCTAAGTGAAATGGAGAGTAATTCATGTAATAGTATTATGTGCAAGCATACAAAATGGCAAAAAGAGGTATGAGACTGTCTTATCCAAAAATCAGGTATAAGGCAAAGTATAACCAAGGCCTGAGGGAATTAGTGGGAACATAGAGTTCTGGAAAGAAAAATGTGACTCAGCAGAACCAAAAAACATCTGTCAGGGTATAGTTAGTCATGGAGAAATTGGCAATCATGAGTATGCATTTTGTGAAAATAATTATATATTAGTCTAACTGTTAACAATGGGACTGAAGTTAACCAGTTTTGAAAACCCATACAACAAAATTATTATTATTATTTTGGCGATTCAAAATAATTCTGTTAAATATCTAGAATAATTTACAGGAGTTTTACCAAAAAGTTACCATATAGTATTAGTATATTCCAAAAACTATAATTGTAGAAAACAAGTTGCAGTTAAAGATTTGTAATTTTAGTATACAACTATCTTTGTAAACCTAAACTTTTCAAATTACTTGTCAAATTTCAATTTGATAAATTTTATTCTACATACAATGTTGATAAAGTAGATAAGTCATACACATAAGTTTGGAACTTTGTTTTAGTAGAGGAGTTATTTAAGATGAAAACCCTTTACTTATGTTCGTATTAATATAACACATATGACTTACTTGTTATCATGTTATGTATTTCATAGCTCCCACTTCCATAACTTTTTCTACCTGACATGTGCACTAAATCTGATGAACAGAAATCCATTCATTCTGGCCCTCCCTGGTGGCGCAGCAGGTTAAAGCACAGCACTAAGAAGCTTAAACCACTTCAGCATGAGTTCGATCCCTGCCTGCCCCGGAAGTGACCACATGGCGCAGGCAGACCTCTCTTGACCAGCCTGCTGCTCCCCTCAGCAGTGTACTTTGTAGATCTGCTTGTTCTGCTCCCCACTCTGTCTCTGGTGAATCCTCTCACCACCCCTGCACCTCTGGCCTGTACCCCAGTTCTGTAATGTATAAATAAATAAATCTTAAAAAAAAAAAAAAAGAAATCCATTCATTCGATAAATTCTTGAATATCTTCCAGAATCTGAGCTTCCAGCTGGACTCTGAATATACAGAATGGAAAGACTCCTTTTCTTATTAAGTATGTCATCACTCCTATTTGTTATCCCAATTTTAATGGTTCGAATGATTTTCTGTCAGCCTTCTGGATTGGATGTCAAGCAGTCTTAACAATGTTACTTATTAATAAACTGTTTCATACAAAACATGACATATATGTCATTCCATTGAACATTTACCTTTTATTTTTAAATTCTTTTATTTATTCCTACAGAACTGGGGTATAGGACAGAGAGGTGGAGGGTGAGAGGATTCACCAGAGACAGAGCGGGGAGCAGAACAGGCAGATGGAGGAAGCACACTACTGAGGGGAGCAGCAGGCAGGTCAGGAGAGGTCTGCCGTGCCATGTGGTCACCTCCCGGGGCAGGCGGGGATTGAACTCATACGGAAGTGGATTAAGCCTCTTAGTGCTGTGCTTTAACCCGATTCGCCACCAGGGAGGGACCTGAACATTTATCTTTAATTCAGAAAATTATCTGTGTATTTAAAGAACCTATACTGTATCATTTAAAATGTATGACTGAACTTTTAAAGTTTTATATATTAAAAAATGTACCCCAATATAGAAACCCTAATTCGATAAAAAGGCAAGAAAAGACAGGTAGATGT